GAGGAGCGGAGACGGAGCCTAAATCAGATAAGTGAGGGTGGGGGGGCACTATAGGGAGCTTTGTTTTCCTTGTACTATAGTTTCCCTTTTAGTGCCTTGACTATCCCTTTAACTCAGTGGTAGTCAACCTTTTTCTACCTACCGCCCACTAATGCATCTTTCTTGATGGAAAAATTTCCTTACCGCCCACCAGTTTTCACGCAAGCGCAGAATATTTTTTAGAAAGGAGGGTGTTTTTAAAAAAAAAAAAAATGTACGTACATTTATCTTTTTATTTCTACTTAATGCATGTTTATAATGTTTTTAACTTTATAAAGTTTAATGAGAAACCAATAAAGTAAATTGAAGTTACCTTTACTAGTGATTAATGAGATCCTTGAGGCTGATGCTGGAAGGAACAAACAAAGGTCTCCTCTTTCGGTGATATTCAGATGGTTTCTCTGTTTGCTCATAATATGATTAACAGCACTAAAGCCTGATTCTACAAGATATGTGGTAGGGAAAGGTATCAATAAATTGAACATCATTTTCCACATATTTGGATATAACGCAGGCATTTTTTTTTATTTTGCCAGAGTTTTTGGTATCCACCACTGCCAAAATTACAAAAGTAATTACTACTTTTACTCTTACGTTTTGATCTGCACTCCACACAGTGCTTTTTTCCCTCCTCTTTTCCCTTTTATTACCAACACCAAAAACAATGCTGTATTAGGTGCCAATTTGTATTAAATGTCACCATCAAAATAAATTCCTTTTCCTGCCTGCTTCTTTACCTTCCTTATAGTATATCACTATATCAAGGATCTCTTTTTCCTTTTTTTTAATTTTCTCCTTCCCTTACTTATTTTTTTATTTTATTTTATAAGATAACAAAACTTAATTTATGAGCCAGACTAAACACTGCTTACTCTCCTCCTTTATTTTATCCCCTTTTCTCTATTTTTCTTCCTTTTTTTTGTTATTTTTTTTTTTAATCTTTTCCTTTTCATCTCCTTTCTTTTACCTTTCTGAGGTACAAAAGTAAGGCTGAGCTAGTAAGCCAACTTATTATTATTAGCCAACAATTCTCTTTCTCCTGCCTATAACTTTTCTTTTGCAACTGCTCTGCTCCGTTTCTGCCTGTCCCTGCTATCAGTTTCCACTCCTCCCCTTCCTCTTCCCACGTATTTGCGTGCGCTCGCTCCCGCCCGACCCCTTCTCGCACAAAAGGAGGTTGATTGATGTGTGCACTCGCGCCCGCCTGCGCCGCCCGCCCACTCGCTCAAAAGGAGGTTTTAACTTCCAAAAATCCTACCGCACGCTTTCTTGCGCACGTTGGTTTCTTTGTGTGCGCTCGCTCATGCTCGCACCCGCTTGCTCACGCCCGCTCGCTCAAAAGGAGGTTTTAACCTCCAAAGTCCCTACCGCCCACCTGGAATCCCAAAACGCCCACTAGTGGGCGGTAGGGGCCAGGTTGACGACCCATGCTTTAACTCCTTGTGGACCAGAGTTTAGGCAGATCCTTATATATAATGATTGCACTAACAATCAAGTGCCATCCCATGTGTAATTAATTTTGTGGCATTGAAAAGGAACAATTTAGGGCAAGCTATGTTCCTGCCTGTTAGTCCTGCATGTTTTATGTAGCTGAACCAACTGCCCCTTACCCCTCTCTGTATCTTCGCTGCTAGGATGTTATAAGCCATTCAATGATATTGCAGAGGCTTCAATTTGAATGTGTTGTATGAGCAAGAGCATAGTACACAGGTGTTGCCTCTGCTTTAACTTTGCAAATGAAACAATAACATTTCTTTGCCACGTTACATTCTGGATATGATTGCAAACAATTTGCAGTGTGAGTGGTGCTCGTTGTGGCAAATTAGGAAGCCTTAGATTATAGCTAAATCCGAAAGAGGGTCAGACAATGGTCAAACTTCTCTAATTTAGAAATTCTTACATTACCTGAGATGAGCTGCAGGTGAGATGAGATAAAGAAAAACTCAAGTAACTGCATGAGAGGGGACGTGGGGATGAAAATGTCCCTTTCTCTTTTCTCACAAAAACAAACTCTATCCTTGCAGTGTTGCAGTATTGTCTGCACTACCAACACATCAGACTGCCACGTATAAATAATTTTTATAAAAAAGGCAACATTCTCAGAATTTTTTTATTGAATTGCAAGTCAATCGATAGATTGTTTTTGGTTATATAACATATATAATTTTATGAATATATATTAAAATACTTTCTGATATAAAAAATGGCAACATAAAAAGAGGTATATAAACACATATTTTTAGGCCAAGGTAATAAAAATATTTAATGCTAGGCTTTGGAGAACCTGCTTTTTTTATTTTGTGATGGTTTTAAATTGGAGATATTGTCGTAATTAATCCATCATTAAAAAAAAAAAAGCTGATCACAAGCAGATTCATTTTCTCCCACAATACACTTGTGTGTGTTTTGCCTTTTGACATAGATGTCAGTGTTTATAGATTGACATATTTTTCCAATAAAATTTACCATAGCTGGATAACATGTTGATTGGTCTTATACGTAGTGCTGAAGCGTGCCACCTCAGCTCCCATCCATTGCATTCGTTTTAATGGTTCTGTTCCCTGAGTCATTGTTGCTATTCAAGCTAATCTTTCCATTTCCTACTGTTCAGAACTCTTTAAATACTTTAAAGGAACACTCAACTACCTAAAAACATGCATGCATTTATTGCTGATTTTTTGCCGGTATATCTAACAGTAAAATCTCTCAGACCTGCTGACTGCAAGCCCTCCCATTCTCTGCTCAATGAGAAGTCTTTGCAAAGCTCCAATTAACTAAGCGAACCGGGAGTAACAGCACCGTATGTCTGACTTAAAGCCAGGGGGTGCTATAGGTGTTTGGAGTGTTCCTTTAAAGATTTTGGTGTCCTCCATATTCTACTCATTTCAGGATACACTGCAGATTTGACCTTTTGGGTCTCATACAACTCTATTTGTCTTTTTAAAGTTATTGTAACAAAGTTAATGAGCGCGTGATGCATCTGCTATATAATGCATTCTGTTAATATATGATCAATATATACATCGATCTGAGCATACTATGCTTTTATAAGAAGAATTCTTCTTAGTCTTTAAATCTGTTCATCCCCTTATTGCAGAATTCTGTGCTGAATTCCTGTAGTTTTTTATTATAGGTATTAAAGGTATTATATACCTTTTTACCCTGGTATGTAAGTTATAGAAACATATGTGACGGCAGATAAGAACCATTCGGCCCATCTAGTCTGCCCAATTTCTAAATACTTTCATTAGTCCCTGACCTTATCTTATAGTTAGGATAGCCTTATGCCTATCCTACGCATGCTTAAACTCTCTCACTGTGTTAACCTCTACCACTTCAGCTGAAAAACATAGAAACATAGAATGTGACGGCAGATAAGAACCATTCGGCCCATCTAGTCTGCCCAATTTTTTTTTTTTAAGTACTTTCATTAGTCCCTGGCCTTATCTTATAGCTAGGATACCCTTATGCATATCCCACGCATGCTTAAACTCCTTTACTGTGTTAACCTCTACCACTTCAGCTGGAAGGCTATTCCATGCATCCACTACCCTCTCAGTAAAGTAATACTTCCTGATATTATTTTTAAACCTTTGTCCCTCTAATTTAAGACTATGTCCTCTTGTTGTGGTAGTTTTTCTTCTTTTAGTCTCCTCCTTTACTGTATTGATTCTCTTTATGTATTTAAATGTTTCTTTCATATCCCCCTGTCTTGTCCTTTCTCCAAGCTATACATGCAGGGGTCAAGTCCTGGGAAAAAAAGTGTGGGAACTCACCCAAGATCCACCTCCCCCCCCCTAAAAAAATGATACGCTCGTATGCATATATATAGCTGGGTGAAGGGTTGACAGTGTGTGGAGGCTGAAAGTAATTGGAGATAGTGATATTGTATGGAGAGGGTGTCAGTGTGTGTATGGGGATGATAGAGTGTGGGTGACATTGTGTGTGGGAGGGTGACAGGGTGCGTGTATGGGAGGAGTGACAGGGTGTGTGTGTGTGTGTGTGTGTGTGGAGAGGGTGTCAGTGTGTGTAGGGGAGCTGTGAGGTGAGTAGGAGGACTGGGAGGTGGGTAGGGGGGTTGTAAGGTGGGTAGGGGGACTGTGAGTGGGTAGGTGTTCTGTAAGGTGGGTAGGGGGGCTGTGAAGTGGGTAGGGGGACTGAGTGGGTAGGGGGTTGTAAGGTGGGTAGGGGGACTGTGAGTGGGTAGGGGGGCTGTAAGGTGGGTAGTGGGGTAGTGAAGTGGGTAAGGGACTGTTAGTGGGTAGGGGGGCTCACTGACAGACAGACACACACACACTCATTCACAGATACACACACTCACAGACACACCCTGACAGATATACACACACCGACTCACTGAGAGCCAGACACACACACACATCACACATACACACACACACATCACACATACACACACACACATCACACACACACACATTTCCCCCAAACGCTCACAGATTATTTTTTTAAATCCACCCAGCCTCCCTACATTTGGGAGAGCTGGATGGATTTTTTTTACCTGGGGTCCAGTGGGGCTGCTGGCTGGGCAGGAAGGCAGGCAGGCAGTTAAACTTCAGGCGGGTGGTGAGGGAGCGCTGATCTGTGAGCTCTCCCTGCTCAGCTCTCTCGTGCGCCGCAGAGTGATGCAGGGAGCCGGGGCAAACAAGTCCTGCAGGACCACAAACGGGAATGGTGTTCCTGCTGTGGAAAAAGTGCAGGAACACCGTTCCCACGCTTTCCTGCAGGACTCAAGACCTGTATACATGTTAAGTTCCTTTAACCTTTCCTGGTAAGTTAAAGAAGGTACAGGTAAAAATTGTACATTAGGAGTGTGTTTACTTTTAAAGCAAATGATTACAATATGTGACTCAAAATTTCTGTCTTTTAAATAGGTAGCTATACGCTGAAGCTATGCATATTTAGCGCTTTAATTTTATAGATAAGGAGAATCAATAGTTAACTTAGGTGATATGGCCTGTAGAACCCTTTACAAGTACTGTCTCGGTTTCCTTTCTTCTAGAATCCTGACTATACTCAGTATGTTCAAGATTCTTATTCTGAACTGAAGGGCACTCCTTATTATGTGTTGCTCTCCTATTTCTACTATTAAAGGTATTCTTCTGTCTTCTTGTCTCTTCACATCTGGACCTGGGGTGGAAATCATGAAATGATCCATCATCTGACTTTGAAGTTTTGGTGCTACCATGAAACCCGGTCATTTTTGGAAGACATTTTCTCCAGTAAGTGTGGCCTGCTACAACCTGTAAAACAGAAAAATATTTTTAATTCCATAAAAACATGCACATATTTTTATTATGACTAGAGTTGAGCGAACCCGAACTGTAGAGTTAAGTTTTTTGGACCCCGAACACGCACATATCACTGTATGTTCGGGTTGGAGTTCGGTGTTCGGCGATTTAATGGCGTATTTTCAAAGGCTGGAGGGCAGCCAATCAACAAGCGTTTGACTCGTGTGCCCTTAGAAGCCATCACAGCCATGCCTACTAATGGCATGGCTGTGATTGGCCAGTGCAGAATGTGACCCAGCCTCTATATATAAGCTGGAGTCGCGTAGCGCCACACGCACATGAGGTCTTATTAGTGTAGGGAGAGGATGCTGCTGCTGATAGGGACAGCTTAGGAAAGAATTCTGCAAACTAGTACATTAGTGGAATGCACTTCATATCTGAGAGTAATTTTCTGGGTGCTAATCTGCTAAATAGTAAAATTTGGAGCCTGCTCTTCATATTTGAGAGTCAAATCGAAGCGTCTAATAGTGTGCTTACAGCGCAGTTGTACAAATTCTAATTGTTTTGCTGCTAATCTGCTAAATAGTACATTTGCGGCCTGCGGTATACTTTATATGTGAGAGTCAAATAGAAGCGTCAAATAGTGCGCTTACTGCACAGTTGTAAACATTCTAATTGTATTGCTCCTAATCTGCTGCTTACATTGGAGTTTTAAAAAGTAAATTTTTTTTTTTTTGGTGCTAAATAGTATATTTGGGGTGTGCACTTCATATCTGAGAGTCAAATAGAAGCGTCTAATAGTGTGCTTACAGCGCAGTGGTAAACATTCTTATTTTATGTGTACTAATCTGCGAAATAGTACATTTTGGGGCGTGCACTTCATATCTGAGAGTCAAATCGAAGTATCTAATAGTGTGCTTACAGCGCAGTTGTAAAAAATCTTATTTTCTGGGTGCCAATTTGCTAAATAGTACATTTTGGGCCCTGCTCTTCATATCTGAGAGTCAAATAGAAGTGTCTAATAGTGCGCTTACAGCGCAGTTGTAAAAATTCTAATTTTCTGGGTGCTAAATAGTATATTTGGGGTGTGCACTTCATATCTGGTGTATGTGTGCAACACTGGTTAGTTACCGCTTCTCAAAAAAGTCTAAAGACAAATAAATGTTGCCTATGGTGCAGGAAGTATAGAAGACAAGACTGAGACAAATCATTGCCTGTTGACATGTTAATTATCTTAGACCATTAAAATTCAATAAAAATCAATGAAAAAAACACACTAAGTGTCATACAAAAATATGTATTATAGACAAGTTAAAAACAAGACTACAAGTCATGCTATAACAAAATTAAACACGTTTTAAAATATGTATGGGCCAACCAGTGGCTGTAAAAACAAAGTTTTACTGGTTACATTCATGACTACACACTCTAGTGAACAGAACCTTCATGTAGTGTGTTCTTTTTTTTATAAATCATACAGCATCCTTTCATGTGCTTTTCAGATGTCATTGTTAATTACCAATTTTTGTTTAGCCTGATTTTTTTTTTTTTTTTAAGTGAAAAATAAGTGTTATTGTGATCGCTTCATATACAGAAGCATTAATATACATTTCTATATTGTGTAAAGACACAACTACAAAGTTAAAAACCAAACACCAAAACGACGTGCCAGACAATCTACCTTTGCATGGCTAGTGTGATACAATAAGTCTACATCTTAAAAATGCAATAACCCACAGAAGATGGGCGAGAATTTGTTTTGCAAATGGAACTTTGATTCGAATTTACATCGGTCACTTGTAATATTGTTTCACACCTACAACACTCTTTACACAGATCTAAGTGATAGAAAACAGATTGATATTTTCTACACTAGAAACTACCAGATAACAAGCTGCTATATTTAAACCAGTTATCAATAGCTAAGAGGTACTTAAATAATATTGTAATTCTGGGGCATTACCCTCACAAGTGAAACTGAGAGGTCAGTTTATAGGGAAAACTGTTGCCTGGATACAATTCTAAAACAATTTCCATATGTCCTTTGCAGACTTTACATGCTGGAAAAACACAGGTGCCACTGCCAACTGCTGTGACTTTCTGCAGTGTGCATACCGGTAAGGACGGAGGGTTGAGGAGTGGGTGGAAGATGATGTGGAGGATGATGAGGTCCTAGACTCCACATGGAATCAAGGTCATGCGAGTGACGTGTGTAGTTTGGAGGAAGAGGCGCTGGTCGCACTGAGGCACCAGCACAGCATAAGAGGGAGCATGGTGCAAAAGAGGAGCGACCATCCCCTAGCGCTCGTCGGCATGTATTAGCTCGAGAATTACCAGTTATCCAAGTAATACATGTAGCGATCAAAGGATCCATAATAGATTTGAGCGAACCCGAACTGCAAAGTTCGGGTTCGTACCAGATTTAATGATCCATTCGTAGTTTCACAGTCAGGTGGGCAGTCTAGTGACCAGGACCCAGACACTGTCTGTGCGGCGGTTGGATGACCGGGACCCAGTATGCCTGATGTTGTTAGGAGTCACAGCATGGAATGGATTAGCAGGGTCTGGTGCAGGGTAACCGCACGCTCCCTGGTGTTGAGCACCAGTGTTTGTGCGGGCACATACCAGGACCCTGATGCAGCTTCAGTAAAAAGAGTACTGGATACCAGAAGCCATCACCAGACTGATCCGCAACTTCGAACAGGATGTGACATTCACTGTAGTGGCTGTGCCCACTTTCGGCGTTCTCACCCTGCTGCTGCTCGCCTGTATGTGCTGCAGCGTAACTTCGGCCTTCCCGCTCACCGCCTCATGAGACTGTGCGAGCAGCAGCAGGCGATAGTGGAGTTTCAGCAGCAGCACGCACAGGTCAGTGGCTCTGCACCAGACTTCCCTCCAATTGATCAGAGTTAAAGGATTTCAAGTGGACTCATTACAATTACAGGGCCTCTAAAGAGTCCTGTATTGTTATTTGTCGTCACTGCCTTCCCGCGTCGGGAGTGGGTCATTTGTGCGCCTGCTGCCTTCCTTGCATGTGGTAGCCGTTTCTCAGGGTCCTTGTACGGAATGGAACCCTGATTCCCCGTTACCCATGGTCACCATGGTAGGCGCAGAAAATGGCATCGAAAGTTGATATGGATGACATCCGAATGCAAAGTCACCATCACGGGGATGTGCGATTTGCTCGAGGTTCTCTAGAGTCAACAAAGTGCCTGTGCAACTATAATGTCAACAGCAACTCTGCGGAACAGAGTTGTCTTTTTTTATATGTCCCAATATTTTGGGGGCTACCCCAAATAAAATAAAAAAAATATATATATATAAACAGTGTTGGCTACCTCATCCTCCTCCTCCACTGCTGCTTCCATCTACACCGCCACAGTCACCGCCTCCTCAACCTATGGGTCACTTAGTATAAACTATGTACACAATAGCAGAGGCTTGTGAAGGCCTTTTCTCCATGCATCAGGAGTTGAGCATTTATCCATTCATCAGGACTGCAAATGCACAGCAGGCCACAAATGTTTCTTCTTTTTTTTGTATGTCCCAATATTTTGTGGGCTACCACAATTAAAAAAAACCCAAAATAATAAAAAACAGTGTTGGCTACCTCATCCTCCTCCTCCACCTCTGCTTCCACCTACACCGCCACGGTCACCACCTCCTCAACCTATGGGCCACTTAGTATAAACTATGTACACAATAGCAGAGGCTTGTGAAGGCCTTTTCTCCATGCATCAGGAGTTGAGCTCAGTTTGAAATGAAAGAGAATACTCTCTCAAATGGATAATTCTGGTGATCCTCCTGACAGTCATGCTTTAGATTTTGATTTATGTTCTTCCAAAGCTAAAATCAAAGATTCCATCTAGTGCTATTTTATGGCTCAGCTGTATTTTTAATTTTTATGTTATTTTAAGTGATTTCCCTATCCACATTTGTTTGCAGGGCACTTGTCCTACTCTTGCCCCCATTTTACTTCCTTTTGCAGCTCTCTAGCCCTTTCCAGGAGTTTTTTAGAGGCATTTTTGTGGCTAAAAGTTCGGGTCCCCATTGACTTCAATGGGGTTCGGGGTCAAGTTCGAGGTCAAGTTCAAGCCCGAACCCGGACTTTTTTTCAAAGTTTGGCCGAACCCGCCGGACCCAAACATCCAGGTGTCCGCTCTAATTCTCTAATTATGACAATTTGATTCATGTGTTAATCTTTTCACAATCTAATTAGCTACACACTATTTAGCTAGAATCATAGTCAGAAAGAAATAGCATTTCCATCCTTTGCAAGGAAATGTTAAGTATATTTTGTAAAGGAGATTAAAAAATAATAAAGAAATTAACTCACTGTTTTGTACCCCGTTTTCCATGCCTAAAGAGTTACTTGAACCCTTTGGAGGAGTTCAGGTGAAATGTTCCCTGTTGAGCACTATGGAGTGAAATCTGTAAAGAAAAGCTTTTTACTCACCTTGAATCCAGCACCGGTGTTCTGTCAGATTTCTTTACCCGAAAAAAATCTCTACCTACGTCACATCTGGTGACACAGATCAGCTGTTGCCTGTGCTGCACATGCGTGCTAGCATTCCTGAACAGGTCCAGAAATCTGATGCAGTCATGGAGCACAACACCACCACGTCTACTGTCCTCTTGTCTCTTCACATCTTGAAGCACCCGACGCTGATATTCCATGCCCCCTTCAATATCACAGGGAGTGCACATTGTCCAATTATAGGCTTCTCATAAAGAAGCTCGTAATTGGACCTATTGTCGGCCCAGCGCATGTGCACGCTCTGGGCCAGTGAGGCAGAGGGAGTGAGAAAGAAGAGGAAGATAGGTTTGCTTCCATTTATGATTCTCCGCATAATTCCTACTGTTCCGTCATAATTCATAGCATATGAGTACACTCTGCTGTGTTTTTTACCTGCTTATTACTCCAACGTGAATAATCAGGAGAAGCATGTGGTGTTTCTAAATTATCACTGCCAGTCTCTGCTCCTTCTATACATTGAACATGGTCCTTGTCGGAGGTTATTATTTTGTGTCTATAGTTTTTTAATGGTTTCTTCATGCGAGGTGTATGTACTTTTGGCTTAGCAGCAGTGATGTTCTGTACTTCTGATGATGACACTGTGCTGTTTGGGGTCCTCGGTGAATAACTATTCTTAGGATGAGAAACTAAAACATAAAATACGTTTGGTGTGGGTTTTTTTTAGTAGAAGAAAATACATAAATTTCAAATACACGCATATTGGAAGGTTGCTTGGTGGACCAGAAAGGTTAACAATAATGAAAAAGAAGGTACATGCTATTAGTATCAACAGAGTGGGAAATATATTTTATCAATTTATCAGTTTGTTCCTGATACAAGGGACAACAGAAATTGTGAGCTATTATTAAAGTGCTATTATATACAACAAACGGTGTTTCAACTTGTAAAGTAACTGCAAAACAAAAAAGTGGTGTAGGTACCATCGTTAAAATATAACTTATTTAATCCTTAGTAAAACTTGAAATTACATCAATGCTTCCAAATCCAAGTAGAATAAAGACAATGCCCCTATAAAAATCAATATCTCTCATCTCATTTGTATTTCTATGTATGTAATTTAAAATAAACAAATATAAAAATATTAAGAAATAAAAATGAAAATCAATATCTTACTAAGGGAAGCTAAAACAATCTCTATATAATCAGGCTACTTTAAATCTATTGAGTTCATCTGCCCTATATGCCTTTTAGCCTACAATATGATGATTGTTTTATCTATCCTATTAAAGTATTTATATACAGTGGAAGGATATTGATAATATTTGGTTAATCGAGTAGTTGTAGTTTTAAGCTCTCAATGTAAAACATTGCCATTTTTGAGAAACAGCAATATTAACATTGAAGGGTTAAACACTCCTGCCTTTAGAGGCAATTCCTTTGCAACTACCAGGTGAAACTCTGTCTTGTGACGTTTGACATCCATAGGAACATCGAACACCATTAAATGCAGCTCATAGCAAAAACACTGAGTTCAATACCTTCCTATGAGAAAAGATTTAAAGTGTGCCACTCGCCACTAACACATCTCGTACCCAATGCTTTTATGTATGTAATTTAAAATAATAGACTCTTTTTTTTCTTCATGGTTTTATATGTTAATTTTTACAGTATGGCCCTTTCAGTTTATTCAGTATAAAGTTATTGTATTCTAATGTTACTCTAGGAGGTCTACACTGTACAGTGCTGAAACCCTTTACAATCTATAATACATACTCTCTCCACACAAAATGATTTGCTTCATCAACTGTTCTGCATCAAACGTGACTCGAGCAGACTTAGTCAACTCCTCATCATACTTGCGTTCACTGACAAAGTGCTATAAACAACAAAACAAAATGCATGTTTAGTGAGAAAACAGGGTCACTCCAAAACTTTAAGTAAAAGCATATAAAAATAGATGTGTTAAATGTAAAAATAGAAAACTCTACAGCAAGATTTAATTTTACATAAACGATGATGCGCAATATGAATGTCAATCTTTGTGGCTATGTCTAACGTTTTTTTACTTTAACAAATATTTATTAACATGTTATTACTATAAAACCGCAGATTATCATATACTGGGGAGTCTGGATGATAACAAACCTTAATTTGTGCTCTAAGTTCTGAAATCTCACTATCTGTCTTGTGGCTGGAGAGCTCTGATGTTCGCCTCAGTTCTTCTGCAGTTATCTGTCTTGTCATTAAGTTCTCCACTAGATATAGAAAGAGAAAATTCTTGTTTTTGTTTGAGATTGTTGAAACCCATCAACTTCTGCCTCATCCCTTGCCAAAAAGACATTGTAGAATATCAGTGGATCAATATCAAGATGTGTTTAGTCCCCTATATACAAGTGACAATATTTCATTCTTAGGATCCATGAAAGTCCTTTTTACTAATAATTCTACCACCAAAACCTTGTCTACATCTACCTATATGTAGAAAACTCAGAAGGAATTTAGCAATACCACCGTTTTAAGTCACCCATCAATCTCTAATACCGAAGACCAGGCTTGCTAGAAATCAGAATGCAAATATACATGAAAGAATATAACTCAGCACACTCCCAAAACTGGAAATCATAGAATTTTGACACAAGGAGGGCAGGCTAAGGCACTCAAGAATCCCAGACCCCTGATGTCTTTCAAATGCTCCCATTCAGGTTTGTACAGCGGCCAATTCATTGGCTTAAGAAAACACCATTTTCTTCTAAGAATTATCAGGCCAATAATTCAGACAAAACATAGCAAGAAAAACTTGAGATAAGTTCCATGGCCTTTGCCATTTTACACACAGTCCATTGATCCATTTATTTGAGGGATAGATAAATGTCCCTGCCTTACAATGCTTCTGTCCTTCTAGAGAAGTCACCAATGTTGCATAGGTGTAATAAACTTTGCAATTTTCCTATACATTGCACATATGCAAATCTCCCGCAAAATTTCAACTTTAAATATATTTCAGGTATTGTACTTTAGTATTTTATTTATTTTTGTTTAAATTAATTTAATTTGAAAATGTTTTTTATATACAAAATTTACAACAAGAACAATTCTATTCATAAACAAAATTATGCATAGGAAGCAAGGTCACCCATTTAGACTGGAAGAAAAGAGATTTAGTCTAAGGCTAAGGAAAGGTTTTTCTTTTTTACAGTAAGAACAATAAGGATGTGTAATTCTCTGCCTGAATAGGTAGTTTATCAGAGCCTGTACATATGTTTAAACAGCAACTGGATGAATACTTGCAAAAAACCTAATTTTCAGATATATAATTTTTAATAAGTGCGGTGACCCCTTCTTGATCCATGGAGATATGTGACTGCTATTCTTGGGTCGAAAAGGAGTTTTTTTCTACTTTGTTGCATAATTGGAAAGCACTTCAAACTGAGATTTTTGTCTTCTTTTGGATCAATTAAAAAAAAAACAGATGTGGGAAAGGCTGAACTCGATGAACACATATCTCTTTTCAGACAATATAATTATGGAACTATGTAACAAAATAAAGCGGTTTACATACATGCTTCTTCTTTTACTCTTTCCAATTCCAACATCAGCTGAACTTCTCTCTCAATGATGCTGAACGCAAGTAGAAATTAAAGAAATTACAAAGTAAAATAATAATACAAATTTTTAAAATTAATGTAAAGATTTTTGAGAGTATAAAATCATATGAAACAAACTATTAGATAATATACTTTTAGAAAGAACATTTTAATTTACAGGAAGCATTGTTTATAAACATTTATATTTTCTGGTTGGGGTGCATTCACCCATTTCTTTATTACGCAGGAGGTTTTAATTGAGAGGTCTCCCAAGCCTTCTGTTACATGTGAAAAAACTCACAACTGTTTAAAATCTCTGATCATCAGTGCTTTGTGTATCTATGATTCAGACATTCCTGGATTAGTAAAGGATTGCTCTAAGCACCAAAACATTTTTAATTTAATTGAGCAGTTTTGGTGTATAAATCATGCCCCTGCAGTTGCACTGCTCAATTCTCTCAAGTATTTGTGTTCCTTTTTAGATACAAAAGCTGTAACTCTTCCAGCTCGCATGAAAATAAGTTTTAATTTTCCATCAGATCTAATAGCAATGGTATGTTTATATTAGAAGTACTTATCTCCTGTTTTGTTAATCAAACCTTAAACATGCAAATAGGGCTGCTGAAGGCTCTAGCAGGCTCTATACAGAACAGGCTATAAGAAATTTAAATACTTTGTGCAAGAAGCAAATCTAAAATATTTAGACCAGGGGTAAGCCAGCTTAGGCACACAATATTGTGGACTACATCTCCCTATATGCTCTTAAACATAAAGCTGGCAAAGCATCAGGGGAGATATAATCCACATCTGGAGTGCCGAATGTTGCCTATGCATCACATAAACTATTTCAGGAAGTGTGTATTGAGCCTGTGTGACTTCATTTAGGGGAGGTGTGGCTACCTTGTATAAATAAAATGATATAACTCTTAAGTGGCAGAAACGTAATCTGTTAGACTTCAGAGGCATGATCTATATAACAAAATCACTTAATTCAGCTAACAATATGTCAGTGCTTAGAGAATCCCTTTAATCCAAAGTGTATGTTTTATAGGGTTGATCTAAGCTTTCCATCAGATCTAAAATTCTATAAAGTGTATGCACACTTTATGCAAATTCTCATATTCTGACATTGAGTTCTAAAAGTGAGAGAGGCATATTTATATTCAAATAATCTAACTTTGTTAAAGATGATCTAGTCCTAAAGTGGCACATTGTCACTTCCCACAGTTTTATGTCATTCTAACTATGAAAGAGCCCCAGGTAATCTGATAATATGGATTTAAACTTCAAGGTGGCCTAGAAAATGAGATCCTCCATATTAATTGAGTGTAGCTGGGAGTGGGTTTTGTTACTGTGCTATACTAACCTTTTATATAGCTCAGCAAAGGTAGATTTGATATTCCGGACGGAGTTCTCTACCTCGTCTTTAACCCTTTGGCGATATCGTGTGATTGATGCTAGACAGCGTTGAAGGTCTTTTGCAGACTTCTCAATATTTAACCCTAAAATGTAACACAGTAGTTTTTGTGGCAAAGCTTGGGCTCTGTTGAGCGCAAATAAAATTAATGATTATCTATCTATCTATAACTGTATACAGTTTAATCCAAATTATTATTCAACCCCCACTGAAAATTAGGTTTATTGTCAAAATTTACAGACATTCAGCTGTTTGCAATGAACAATTCAAACAAAAGCAATTGAAATAGTTTAAAACAAATGCTTCAAGTGGTTTCCCCAAATTCAACTGAAAATGCAACTTCTAATGACTTCTCCAGTCTCAAAATTATTCAACCTCTTCATGGCAAGCAGCTTTAGTACTTAGCAGTGCATCCTTTTGCGGTTATGACCTGCTGCAAACGAGATGCATAGCCAGACACCAGCTTCTGGCAGCGTTCCTGAGGAATCTTAGCCCATTGCTCATGAGCAACGGCCTCCAGTTCAGTATTATTCTTGGGTTTGTCTGCTGCAACCACATTCTTCAAATCCCAACAGAGATTTTCTATGGGGTTCAAGTCAGGTGACTGTGATGGCCACTGTTGAATTTTGCAGGACTTTTTCTGCAACCAAGCCTTGGTGGAATTTGAGGTATGCTTTGGGAAACATTTTCTTGTTGGAAGATCCAGTTACACCCAAGCTTCAGCTTCCTCGCAGACAGCATGATGTTTTCTCCTAGGATTTCCTGATACTTCAATGAATCCATCCTGCCTTCCACATTCTGCCAGTTTCCAGATGCAAAGCAGCCCCAAAGCATCACTGAGCCACCACCATGCTTAACTGTAGGCAGAGCATACATTTTTCTTCCTCCAGACATAGCACTGAAAAGTTCCAGTTTTGCTCCACAGAACAGAATCTTGCTGCAGGTCTTTTGTAGTGACTCAAGGGATTTTCACAACCTGCCTTCTCAGAAATCTGGTGGCATCCATTGATAACTTCCTATTTCTGCTCCATCCAGGTAGTGTAATTACTGTTCCTTCAATTTTCAACTTGCAAACTATGCTTCCAATGGTGTCTCTAGGAGCAGTCAGTGCCTATCTTTTAGTATCCTGTTCCTTGTTTGTCAAGGACGATGATCTCTTCTAACTTTGTACACCATTCTTTTGACTTAGCCATATTTCTAACATGCAGTCAAATGTAACATTCAACAAACCCATAACCAGTTCAGATATTTCAAGTGTTCCAGCTCAAGCACAACTGGTGCAAATAAGGAAGCCCTTAGTTAGTTGCATTAGGTATGCCTGAGACAATACCTGTTTTGCATATTTGTGCTGTTTTGAAGGATTATGTAACGGATCGCCTGGCACCCCGACTGGGTACCTCCGTTAAAGGATGCTCCTAGTACTTCCTGAGGACTCCAAGCACTGCAGCAGTCACCAAAATCACCGAACCAGAGAAGCGTATACCTTCTCTCAAGCATATGAATGCTGTAGACAGTTGAATAGGAACCATACGAATAGGTTTACTCTCCTAGCAGTCAAACTGGAACAGCATACAATAAATCCTTCCCCCAATAATGAGACGACACTTCACTTTGAGGGTTAAAGCAGGAACTCTCTGTACTGTCACATACAGTCTCTTTTATTCCCAATCCACAAACATAGTACAGCCCACAGGGCGTTACAAAACAACCAATCACATCACAGTTACATCCCACATATTCCCTCCCCTTATCCTGAGAGGAAACTCAATTATACATACAGTTAAAACATACTTTCTACCCAACTTTCATAACTCCAAAACCATACATCACATTCACATAAAATTACATATTCACAATCAATCCATTCAGGGGAACAACATATTCAAAAATGGCACAAATCAGACAAGGGGTTCAAAAGTTAGTAAAAAGTCCTTTGTGACTAAATGAAGCATGGCTTTCTGGCCCAAACCAGTTTCAGAGTCTTCTATCCTGGAGATAAGTAATTCAATTATCTCCCAGGACAGACACAAGACTCCATTAAGCACATGGTTGCAAAAAGACACAAAACACTTTAAAATACATAAAGTCACATTTACACATAACACACAGACATTTCACATATCCCCAGATAGCTGGGATCTGAGTGCACATTATTAGATGAATGGCACTCAGATCACACAAATAAGCCTTTCTGCAGGGGAAATAAACAGTTTAACCTGCAGGGCCATAGTCCAAAGGGAGCAGGCGAGCAACCAGGCTTCTCCAGTTCACAGTGGCGAGGTTGGTTTCGCCACACTTCTCCCCTTTACCAACTAGACTAACAGGGTATCTGACCTCCTGCCGGTCAGTGCCCTGGTTAGTCCAGCAACCCACCCACAAAACAGAAACAGCAGTACAGCCCACCCACAATAACTGGTTACTACACCTGGGTAGAGGAGAACTTTGTCCATGTCCAGGTGCCTCACCACGACTGTGTGGGCAACTGTTAGGCTGCCTTGGTGGGTTGCTGAGTGGGCAGAGACCAGCGGTACTCTGCCCTGATGCCAGTGCTACCACGGAAGTAGCCTGGTGGGAGCCTGGTTGTGGGAGGGAGAGACCGACTGTCTCCCCTCTGGATACACCGCTCTGTGGCTGGGGAACAGGACCGACTGTCCCTACCCTCTTGTGCTGTAAGTGCAGAGACTACAGTCCCATCTGCACTGTTGGGGGGTATAACATCTCCCCTTGCTGGGTTAGGCTGCCGCTGGAGAGAGGGTGTAACAAGCTCCTCTCTCTGAACTGTAAACTGCCGCTGGGGAGAGGGGGTATCAGGCTCCTCTCCCTGACACTCTCTCTGCTGGTGGAGAGGGGGACCAGCTGTCTCCCCTTTCATTATTTTGTCCTGTGGTTGGGGTGCGAGACTGACGGTCTCTGCTCCCTGCAGGACACTCTGCCGCTGGGGAGGAAGGACGGCACCTTCAGCTCCCTGGGGTACACACTGCCGCTGGGGAGAAAGGACTGCACCTTCAGCTCCCTGGGGTACACACTGCCACTGGGGAGGAAGGACTGCACCTTCAGCTCCCTGGGGTGCACACTGCCGCTGGGGAGGAAGGACTGCACCTTCAGCTCCCTGGGGTACATACTGCCGCTGGAGATCTGGGCCGACCGCCCAGCATCCCTGTAGGGCCGGTTGAGAGACCGCCGTCCCATCTCCACCAGCCATCTGTGGGTCTGCCCAGGACCAGTCTGTGAGGTCCCTCAACATTTGCGAGTAAGGACCACCTGCTTCCGCACCTGGCAACTCCGGCTGCTGCTGGGGATCTGGGCCGGTCCCATCTCCACATGCCTGTTGTGGTTCCTCACAGGACCAGTCTATGAGGACCCCTACTTCGGGTTCCTGCGGCCGCCTCAGGGGAGACGGCTAGCCTCCTCGGATGCAGCCTCTACTCGGCTGCTGTAACACTCCTTCCGCTGAGCATACTCTCTCTCTTTCGCCAGCCGGAATTCTCGGGCCAGCCTTGTGTTTCGCTCGGCCGTGACCTGGTTCCAGATCACCCGGCGTACCTCCATGGGTAAATCATCCCCATACTGGGCCACTCGCTGCCTCACCGCGGCCATCCAATCATCGCCAGAGCCTTCCATACTTGTCTGCTCCAAGTCGCTGGATACCTCTGCTCCCAGGGTCGCTGCACGTGTGCTAGCGTTGCCCTCAATTTGTAAATCCAAATGAACTGTGTCTCTGAGCTGCTTTACCTCGCACTAGGATGCCATCCCACCGCTGCCACCAATGTAACGGATCGCCTGGCACCCCGACTGGGTACCTCCGTTAAAGGATGCTCCTAGTACTTCCTGAGGACTCCAAGCACTGCAGCAGACACCAAAATCACCGAACCAGAGAAGCGTATACCTTCTCTCAAGCATATGAATGCTGTAGACAGTTGAATAGGAACCATACGAATAGGTTTACTCTCCTAGCAGTCAAACTGAAACAGCATACAATAAATCCTTCCCCCAATAATGAGACAACACTTCACTTTGAGGGTTAAAACAGGAACTCTCTGTACTGTCACATACAGTCTCTTTTATTCCCAATCCACAAACATAGTACAGCCCACAGGGCATTACAAAACAACCAATCACATATCAGTTACATCCCACATATTCCCTCCCCTTATCCTGAGAGGAAACTCAATTACACATACAGTTAAAACATACTTTCTACCCAACTTTCATAACTCTAAAACCATACATCACATTCACATAAAATTACATATCCACAATCAATCCATTCAGGGGAACAACATATTAAAAAATGGCATGAATCCGACCAGGGGTTCAAAAGTTAGTAAAAGTATCTTTTGGGCCCTGGCTGGCACATGGCTATCTGGCTCAAACAGGTTTTACAGAGCCCTCTATCCTGGAGACAGTGGGGGAAAGTAATCCAATTATCCAGGGATAGAGGCAGACTCCATTGAGCACATGGTTGCAAAAAGACATAAAACACTTTAAAATACATAAAGTCACATTTACACATAACACACAGACATTTCACATATCCCCAGATAGCTGGGATCTGAGTGCACATTATTAGATGATTGGCACTCAGATCACACAAATAAGCCTTTCTGCAGGGGAAATAAACGGTTTAACCTGCAGGGCCATAGTCCAAAGGGAGCAGGCGAGCAACCAGGCTTCTCCAGTTCACAGTGGCGAGGTTGGTTTCGCCACAGATTCTATTCAGGGGGTTGAACAATTTTGAGACTGGAGAAGTCATTATAAGTTGCTTTTTAGATGAATTTGTGAAAACCCTTTGAAGCACTCATTGTGTTGAGCTCTTTCAATTGCTTTTGCTTGTTCACTGTACATATTGTGCATATCCCAAGTTGGGCAGTCTCACACTCTCACCCCAAACACTAGCTTGCAGGACTTTTCAAGGGTTGTCCCAATCCTTTAAAATGACCTGCCTTACTTTAGAAGACTTTCTCACAGTCTATGGTTTATAGGAAAACCCTATAAACTAAATTCTCTTGGAAAGCCATAAAGGAACACTCCAAGAACCATAACTACAACAGATAAAAAGAAGCTGAGATGAAAATCCAATCTCCTCCCTCCGCGTAACAAGTCTCTCTGGGTGGTCGCGTTCCGGGCAGGATCTCTGATCGTGTCAGGCTTAATCCCCAGTATCTTTCTCCGAAAAGTATTCACTATTTTGCGGCTTTCAATAGCTCCATCTTCCTTCAGGCATCACCACGCACATCTATTCGTTTCGCCTACAGCTTTGTCAAGACGTGCGAAATGCATAGACATGCGGGGTGACGGCAGGAGGTGGGCGGAGCTATTAAAAGCCGCAAAATAGTGAATACTTTTCAGAGAAAGATACTGGGGATTAAGCCTGACACTATCAAAGATCATGCCCGGAACTCTACCACCTAGAGAGACTGGTTACTCGGAGGGAGGAGATTGGATTGTCATCTCAGCGACTATAGTTGACCGTCTGAAGGTCAATGCTCTTGTGAGTGGCGGGAATTGATACCGCATATACTCACCACCAATTTCCAGTAAGGGGCAGAGATACCTATCCTTATGTGCAATATCCCTTAGTAATTTTATATTGTTCTTAATAAATGTTAATAAATTGTTTACCCACTAATCCTCCATTTGGGATTATATATTTGTTTATAGTGTATACATATTATTCCTAAACAATATCACACTGATAACGATTGTTTGTTCAGAGGACTTTTTACCTATTTTTTTAGTCTTTTGAATGCCTGTTTTTTAGCGCTTTTATCATTCATTATTTTCTAGATAAAAAGAAAACCCATTACCAAACAGTTTTCATTGTTAGACTAAGGGAGGAGCGACAATGCAGTTTTGGCACCATAACCACGCCTTATCCCATTTTCTCTACATAATATGTAGTATAGAATAATGCTGGGTTTAGAATAGCATAGCAAACATTGTGCTCCAGGTTATAATAGACATGTATACCTAAGCACAAGAATCTTAAAGGAAAACTCCAGCAACATAACACTTGAATGAAGTTGTTATAATGCTAGGAGATCCTTGGCACCGGCTTGCCTTTAGGGGTTAAACCATTCACAAACAGTTTAATTACAAAGGTCAGTATCCATTGCCAAAACGCTCTGCGCCGCCCTATCCTTCTGCTGCTCAGAATCTTGAAAGGGGAAGCCTTGGCCAGGCGAACTTCTGATTGGCTAAGAGTGTCAACTGATGCTCTAAGGCAATCAGTAGCTCCCTATTCTCAAAAAAAAACTGATAAACGTTGTAAGTATTTTTCTCAAGCTCACTGTAATGTTTATTATGTTGCCAGCAGTGCCGTGGTACCTGCCCCTACCCATTGTAAGGAGTCAAACCATTTTTAAATGGTTTGACTTGCACTCCTTAAACCAGTGAGCTGTACTGGTTATGCTGTTTGGAGAAAGCACTAAGAAAAATAAATGGTCTGTACCCTTTGCAGAGCAAATGTAAAGCACAGGAATCTTAACTGTGGGATAAGGTGAGTGGACTAACCTGAGAGGTCTTTATGAATCCTTAGCTCTTTTCCAGTAAATTCTTTTTCCTCTGCTTGTTTGATTATACCCTCCTCTTTCCTGGGCCCTTGTAAGAGGACTTCTTTATTATATTGACTGAGAAGAGAAGATGACTTTTGGCCACTCACTGACTTCCTTTCTACAATCTGTTTATTTTCACAGTTGGTATCCACATTTTTTGCTTTGCTTCTTCGGTGCTTCTGGACCTTTGGGAGTGGAAATAAGAAACTAATAGAAGTTCCATCTGGAGCTACTTCTCTACTAGATGTAAGTTAAATAATTTAATCACCCCTCCTGGTTTAATAATGTACAGAAAGAACATCACCATTGTAACATCAAACTAATATATGAAAAGGTATAACAAAATAAATACACAATCACATTATCATTATTTTGCTTGCCGATGTTGGAGTATCGTTCTTAATATCATGTGACTAACAATGACAAATGAAGTTACGTCAATTTAAAGAGAATTCTCTCTTTAGTTGTGTTATGAACTGGAAAAAAGTTTGTGAGTAAATATAGTTGCTTTCAACCCTGACAGTGGAAAGCTAAGATAAGCCTGGAGGTGTAGGGCTATGCTTATTGGCTGAGAGTTGTGTGCTGACTCTCTCAGCCAATAAGCTAGCCCTGTGCTGCAGGCTCAGGAGAGCTATTGGAGCTTCCGGCTCTCACTGAGCTGTAGTACAGACAGGTAACGATGCCCAGGGCAAACAGGTTTGACTACTTACAAAGGGGTGTGTCAAGGCATTCCTAGCACTATAACCACTACAGCGCACTGTTGGTGTTCCTTGACTAAGGGTTTTGGGCACCCCTAGCCACCTGGGAAGGCTTGTTTTTTTATATTGTTTTATTAGCCTGCTGCCAATGTGTGGGGGCTGGTGGGACACTATGTCCTCTCATTCATCTTATTTTAAAAGCCCCCACCCATGGATCATAGGTGAGTGCACAGGGGGCACACTATGTCCCCACCCACTTAATTTTTTTATTAGGTGTTGGAACTGTGCCAGAACTGTATTGGCTTAGTGACTGGACAGTAATGGCTGGGTAGGACAAAAATGTATTTTCGTCCGAATTCATTTCGAAGAACCAAAAATGTCCGCAGTGCCTAGGTCTAATAAGTGCATAGTGCACAGAAATGTAATTGTTCAAACACCTTGCAGACACAATCCTAGTGATCAACAAAGTGTCAGGTAAATTCCCCCTAGTGGCTATTATTGAAAATGTTGCACACAGTATATTGTGTCAAATTTAAAACAAAATATGGAATGTTTGCTCTTTGGGCTTTAAACTATATACATTAATATATCCAAAGGTATCTATGGTTGATAACATCACAATATGTAGCAATGATCCAGACCTTCTCTTTGCTCATCATTTCTTGATTTACTTTTTCCATGTCCTTTTTTGTTATGTGCAGACTGCAAGAGAATGACACACAAATAAATAAATACACAAGAACAGTTTCCATATATTTACCCACCACATCACATATCAGAACGATATCATACTGTCATATAGGGCAGTGATGGCGAACATTTTTGAGCCCAAGTGCCCAAACCGCAATACCAACCAACTTTTTTTCCTCAAATTGCCAACATGGCACTGTGATTGTGAGGGGTGAAGTGTGTGTGGTTGTGAGGGGGTGCAGTGTGCAGTTGTGAGGGGGTGCCGTGTGTGTGATTGTGAGGGGTGATGTGTGTGTGGTTGTGAGGGGGATCAGTGTGTGGTTGTGAGGGGTAACAGTGTGTGGTTGTGAGAGGGTGCAGTGTGTGGTTGTGAGGGATGCAGCCTGTGTGATTGTGAGTGGTGCAGTGTGTGTGATTGTGAGGGGTGCCGTGTGTGTGGTTGTGAGGGGGTGCATTGTGTGTGGTTGTGAGGGGTGCAGTGTGTGTAGTGCGAGAGAGACTTTTAAGTTTAGGATTGGGGCTGAGTGTTGCAGGGTCTGAGAGGGGAGCATCATTTAAATTTTTTTTAAATATTTTAAGTTAATATTTTTTTTAGTGTTTCCCCCCTACCTGTTTCTTACCTACTTCCAGGGAGGGTTCCCATGGTCTCATGGTGCTCTAGGTAGGGGGTCTCTGTAGAATATTACATATTCTATATGTTCCTATTCAAATACATATTAAGGTGTGGATGTCTAATGGGTTAAAAAGAACAGATAGTGTTTGCTATTCTGTACCATCTGGAATGTGCTGTATAGAGAGATTCGGGGTAGGGTCCTTATATGGGGAGTTCCCCTATATGGCGTCTAAATTAAAAATTATGACGTCATTTTGCCTGAGGACAAAGGACCACGTTCTCTTTCTCCTATGATCCACTCTCCTCTCCTGGTATGTCCCTGACTTACTGATACAAAGACGACTACTTAAAAAGATCTCTCAATCTATGTAACATTGTGAAGAAATACCATCTGTTAAGTATATTATTGTTTGCTTTTGAAGTAGAATAAATGCATATTTTTTATAAAGAATGTTAGATTACGTATTAGTACTTTTTGGTTACATAGATGTATATTAGGAAGTCTCCCTTTCTCTCTCCTTTGAGGAAATCCATTCCAGGCAAAAGGGTGCAGTGTCTCCATCCGACACTACTATGCAAGTGATTTGAGCCTGTCCCTTTAAGGCTCTGATCAATTTCCATCAGCTTCTAACTTCATCTTGCTGCTAAAGAAGGGCAGGTGCCCCCCTCTAGAGGTACCCAGGTCTATCATCCAGAGCCAGGTTCTCATTGGCTCAGGAAAAGGTGAGCACAACCAAAAACCACTGTGTTTTTTATTTTTGTTGAAACTTAATACACTAGGAAGTCTCCCTTTCTCTCTCCTTTGAGGAAATCCATTCCAGGCAAAAGGGTGCAGTGTCTCCATACGACACTACTGTGCAAGTGATTTGAGCCTGTCCCTTTGAGGCTCTGATCAATGTGAGTTTGACTACTTGAATTATCACCAAAATACATTATCACCTGTGGATTTACACTATATTGTGTTTTATTTTTTGTTTCCTTTATATGTACTGATATACATCTGAGATTTAACCCTATTTTAGGGTAAGTTTATACCTTTAGCGCTCCACTCATTTGATTAGTAAAGTCTGGACGTTATATCCAGATTGTACTAAGCTCACTTTGGTTCATGGATATATATTAACCTGGCGGGGCTTTAACCAAAGAAGATATGTTTAAGGCCGAAGGCCTGTATTTGTGGGAGGAGTTAGCGTTCCTATAAACGCTACTCCCCCTTCCTACTTTGCTGTTTACGCACGCTGTTCACCTCGTCTGTGACAGACGAACTTCCGGTCTCCATGACAGCCAAACTTTCGGGTCTTCCATCCGCCGCTTCCGGTCCCGGCATCCTCTCCGTTCTCCCGCTCACCATTTAGTGCAATCGAACCTCCAAAACATACGAACGCAAGGTAATTGTCAAATAGCCGCGTTTGGGCTATTTGCCCTTCGACAAGTTTCAGTCATATTGTACGTGTTCTTTTCTCTCCCCCCTGCTTGTTCACATGAACAAACACTCGAATGAGCTAAACAGGCGAACGCCATTACAATATTAATTTTCCCAGCAGCAGAACATCGATCCACATCGTGAAGTATAAGCTAACCTTTGCCGTTTAAAATGTTCTATAATTAAAAAAAAAAAAAAAATACAGCCTGTATCCTAACAAATGGGAATTGTTTTCCGTGCTGGTTGCTGTATTAATTTGAATAACTCCATGCCCGTTTGGACAGCCTATCACTGTTTTCTATTTACTGTTACTAATGTGCTATCTTATATTCACTAAGCTTATTTTTAACTTTTTCAACTTGTATTTCCCCACCCCTTTATCCCCCCCAGTTTGGTTTTCTAATTATCACTTTATTTTGTATTCGCCAACTCATATTTTATATTTTATTAATATTCCATTTGTTTTTGTTGCTCCACCCCCTGGTTTCCCATTGGCCACTGCCACTATAGCCTGTCCCTTCTCTATCGCTGTCTGTCAGGTCCCGCCCCCTCACCTCCTATTCTACGCCGTTTTTCAGGCTCATCTCCTCCCTTACCCACCCTTCTATTATGTCAGTTCGGCTCAGGAGAGCCTATAACTCCTACCCAGGTTAATGAGCCGATAGTTCAGCTCCTTCATACTACATATCCCAATGCGCACCGGGCTTATGACGTTACAGCTGACGCCGACCCGGAACTTCCCCTTTGTATGCCCCCTCTTTTAATTTTGTTGTTTCTTAATTAAATACACTTGTTTTAGCAAATTTGATAAACAGTTTGCATTAGATTAAGCTTTTACCTATTTATCATAATTTTGTCTTACTTTGTTCCTCTATTTGTGGTGCTTGCTACTTTTATGTTTTGTTTACCTTGTTTAGCTATTATTATCATTACACTGTGATACTTTGTTTAGACGGTTTTAACTGTGTATAGTGGCCACTATCACAAGCCAATACTATCACAACTACTAACATTTTACAGAGGTTATTCTACACACCGGTCTTGTTAAATTCAGGAGATACAGTTTGTTTTACTGGTACCATACACTGGCTATCTGTTCATTCGTTTAAAACGGCTGGCTTTCTGTTCATTCGTTGAAACCGGTTCATTCGTTTAAATCCTGCCAAACTAGGTCTCAGGTCTAAATTTAATGTTAATCTTAAATGGCCTTCATATGAAACTCCCGAACAGGGGCCAACCCGCTCGTACGCCAATTCATTCACTTAGACTACACAAGCCTGACTGCAAGGCTTTCGTGCACACAAAGATAGAATTACAGCTAAACAGCATGCTATATACTGCCCCTGCCGGTCTCTCTCGGTACAAGATTTGTTAAAGATACATACACAGCAGATGTTATATATGATTATCAGACTGTATTTCGTTAGATAGCAATGTGAAGTAATCTCTTAAATGGTTCACAGGGTTGGATATAATATCTGTTTGCCATGGTGTTAAGGTTTCTATGTACATCTACTTCAATTATACGCGTATAGTAATTCCGTTACCGCCACTAGGTTGGACGGACGAACATACACATATATATTTAAGCTTGATTGTATTACTGAATACCCAGCTCTTTCTTGCTCACCCCTAACCTTTACCCTTGGTGTAATCTGTATATTGTTTTATACAACCAGTCCCCAATCTGAACATAGTCTGAGTGTGTGAATTGTAACTCACTAAGAAATAGTTTATCCTTATTGGTTGCTACATAATCACTACTTGTGATCTCAAAGATTAATTTTCCATCACTAACTAGGGTAATGATTTCACTATCTGGTCAAAACATTGGTGCCAATCAAGTCAATTAATGCAATTACTATGCTATGTGTTTAAATTAAACAAATGAAGTTAACCGATGAATGTAATGTATTACTTTATCTGTCAACCATTAAGACAGATTACAGTAAAAATACGGCGCAATTTCTGGTATATAAATTATATCCCCTCCGTTCAGGCTTTTTACCATCCAACATGCTCAACTTATTTTACGAATGTTAATACAACATATGCTCGATATACCTACCAGTGCTACCTAATTTCAGGTAAATTATTAAGCATTCGGTGGTTGTTAACATACAGGGGTTTGTTTACTCGCCTTGCCTCCTCAGGCCACGGCTTCACTCGACTACTCATCATACGTTATCATCAACTCACTATCTCGCAATAAACCTCCTGAACTTCTTTAACACCTTTCCTTCCTTCTCCATTTTCCCTCCAACAATACTACACGCTTTAAGCACAACATTTTCATAGGATCGCTCTATAAGGGAATTACTAACAGTAAACATACACCCGTCACACCTGCTATACCTAGTTCCTTTACATTATTCCATCCAATATGACGTATCGTGCATTTACTGTTCCATCCAGCTAGGTTGAGTGAATCTTTAACAACATTGTCCATTCTATTCATATACTGTTCTGGTAATTAATTATGGGTATGTAAGTATACAAGGAACTGATAGCTATATAACTCTTACCTGCTAAGTAGGGGGAATGTCCATTTTTTATTTTTTTTTAAACTGGATGGAATCCGTTCATTTAATTACCTCCCTCTGGGTAAAAATGCCCATACTGTAAGTCCAACATTATCACGTCAGTACATTTAAACATTGTTGTCAGATGATACAGTCAGATAAGTTTGACATTTGGCAATTGAACATTCTCCATTACATTGCCATCTGCTAAACAACATCTGATTAAGCTTGTTAATTACATGGCTGGCGTAATTTAATACTACAAATTAAGAGGAGGCTGTTAGATATTTAGAGGTCACCTAAAGGAGGTCTTTTCCCTTCTTAAAACCCCCCACCCCCAAAAAATGGCACCTTAATTTCAGGTTTCGGACGGCATTCTACCAGGAGACAGTTACTGGTTCTTTAATGTCTCCTGTCTCTATCAGGTACAAAAACATTTCGTTTACATTTCTATCAACTGCCTCAACAAGGCCACGCATTCACACAATAGGGTATTAGGGTACGGGGGCCTCGACAGGCCACGGCTATACTTGATAACTAGTCGTATGTTTATTCGAATTCACTATCTGTAAACAATCATCCTGTTTCTAACAAAACTTGCTCATCTCACCTTCCACCTTCTGCCTCGTTCTATCATGCATTCACGGCTCAATGCCTTCCTAAATCTTCTTGCAGGGATATATCATAACTACCAGGGGGAATCTTCAGCACCTCAGGGCCTAAGGTTACTATACTATCAGCTAAGTCTCTAAGAACTACACGGCGCTAAACATAATATTCTCTCTCTCCTCTCCCTCCACCACAGCTCCTTTCCTCTTCTGTCTTCATCCTTTCTCTCCCTTCTTTTGTTCTCTTTTATGACATAGGGGCCTCAAGGTTCCTTTTACTATCACGACTCATTACGCCAATACGTTACCCCCTCATCAAGCCCCCGTCTAGGGTCAGAGAACTGGCTATTCAGGGTTCAGGACCTGGCCTTAGCTTTACGACATAGCTGGTCCCGTGAGGCCAACTCCCCAATCTCAACACAGAGATTTTCTCCCCTCGGCCCAAATCACAGTTAGAGCCTCGCATTCACCAATCTATCGGGTTTATTGTCAGGGCCTCATTTGTCATGTCCACACGTTTTTGGATCTTTTACTGTCACCGAGAGGCCGACACCCCGCCACCACGCTAGTGGCTCGAGCCCCACGCCCAAACCATAGGTAGAGCCTCTCATCTGCCGCTTGGCAACTAGCATGGCCTCACTTTTCACGGGGTAGAGAGATTTTCGCTTTGGCAATAGTTAACCAGGCAGTTCTACATTTCTCAACCGTATTGTTATTAATCAGTTCATTGTTGTTGTGATATTCTTTTTCAGTATGTCCCAAGAAGGCAACATCGGACAAGAATCATCCTTCCGGACACTGAGAATTCTGGGTTGGGGGACCAGCTCACAAGCAGAAATCTCAGACATTTACTAGCACGCTCGCTATCAGGTTGCCGGGCGGTGATAATATTATTAGATCCTCCGGCAAGCCAGACCTGGTCAGGTGGGGAGAGTCATTAGAGCTCGAAATTGGGTTAATGTGTTCATCCCGCCTGGTTCCGACCATTCCCAAATTTTACAGGTGAAACCACGATCCTGGGTTGTAGCATTTACATAACTATTAGGGATTACTGACAAGAGACACTCGGACTCGTACCTCACCCTACTCACAAACACCCGAGCATAATCCATATTTCAACATCGTCATCCGGTCGCCCGGCTATTGGGACTCAACAATAAGTTATCACCTATAGCGTCATTCGCTTTCACTAAAAATACATACGACAGAGACGTAACATTCCTCCAGGACTCAGTGGAATACAACATCACAAACATACTGTTCAAACTGTAGTCTATTATGATACATTTTTGCCACCTTTCATTCAAAACCATCATACAACACTATCACACTATACCAATCAGACAAACAACATCACGTTCTGACAAGCCTTTCAAACCATATGCCGTCTTCTTAATGCTTACCTTGGGATACCAAGGTATAAATAATTGGTTCATCACTGCAATAACATACATACATGCATGGGAATTCCAGGCAGTATCAGACTCCCTAGACAGCATACATACCACACAAACCCGGTCTTAAACCTGTGCCTTTTACCTACCAAGGATTCCGGAACCATACAACTTCACGATCACAGCTAATCAGGAAATTAAAAAGGTACAGACACTACCTCATGTCACGGCAACATTCAAATCGGACAATTAAGACACTTGCTCTGCTAAATAAACCCCTAACTACTTCTAAATGTGGTTCTACATTCGTATTCCTTGCATTAGATTAGGTTGGAACCCAAACTCCTATTTAGGACATCCATTCAATTTAAGTACCGCATCCAGTAGCAGTACGCCGGTACACTTAATAAATTAGGTTCACTGGGAATCAGCTATGTTATACAGAAACATTTCTCAACGGATAAGAGGTAAGGCAAACAAATCTTATGTGATAATTATATTTGCAATAAGTGTGTTTTTCTGGCATTTCCTTTTGCCCTCTTTTACAGGCCTACCCCTACGTCGGTTCTGGCACACCACAGCGACTATATTCCAATCACTAGGAATTTCGCGGTATAGATATTAACCGACCACAAGTTTAAGGCCAAGGCCTGTATTTGTGGGAGGAGTTAGCATTCCTATAAAGGCTACTCCCCCCTTCCTACCTTGCCGTTTACGCACGCTGTTCACCCCACCAACCCACTCTCTCATACAATCCATTCAGGAGGGCCCTCTTTTACAGGCCTACCCCTACGTCTGTTCCGGCACACCACACCGATTTAATTCCAATCACTAGGTATTTCACGGTATTGACATTAACCGACCACAAATAAAAAAATAAAAAATAAATATATATATATATATATATATATATATATATATATATATAAACACAAAAAGAATTCAGCGCTAGTAATCACAAAATTAGTCAAGGTAGGCAGCAACCCAAATGAAGGAAAACCCCTCGGGTCCTTCGGTGGATAGATACAAAAAGATATGGAAGGGCTGCGCCAAATAAGGGTAGATAGTCCAGTAAAGTATTGCTAGGGTGCCAATAGATGGTCTAGGATACTTGATAGAGTTCCTCTGTGGATGCGTCTGGTGTAGACCGTTCCGTATATGTAAATACAAGAGAGGTAGAGGCGACTAATGGTATAGTATGAAAGTTCAGGGTGTGATAGGTAACAAAAAGTAAAGAACTCACATTCAGGAGAGCTATGGCCAGCTCTGGTGTGGATTGCGTACAGCGGTATAATCCCCGCTTATGGGATATGTAGGGAGGGGTCTCCGTCAGCACCGTCTGGTAGTCCAGAGCTCGAAAAAGAAAGACAGAAAGCAACAATAGTGCTCTCAATTTTGATGTGGTTCAATGTGCAGATAAGAAGAGGTAAAAAACTCACATTTGAGGGAGCTATGGCCAGCTCTGGTGTGGATAGCGTACAGCGGTATAATCCCCGCTTATAGGATATGTAGCGGCGATACGTCCGTCAGCACCGTCTGGTGATCCAAGGCTCCAATATAGAAGAATAAAAGCAGCAATAGTGCTCTCAATTGTGATAGGTTAAGAGAGTAGTAGAGAAAATAAAATAATACTCACAAAGATAGAGCAGAGGTACTGCTCTATGGATAGGCGCCGGTGGTATGATCCCCACCTAGGATTTCTTGGAGTACTGGAACTTTAAAATTGCCAATGGAAGTAAAAGTAACCAGGAAAGGTTAAAATGCCATTAAAAAATTCTGTTAGTCCAAGAAAAAAGGTATTACAAGATAAGAATTTTATCTGTTTTTTACATATAAATATATATATATATATATATATGACTTATTCAATTGAAAAAACACAAACCAGCTATTACAGTCTCAATAATCATCTCTGCGGCTCCGCCGGGTATATGCACTTCCCGTGAGTCCCGGCACCACGTGGGATCGAGCATTGCTGTGCTAACCATGGCAACGCTCTGAAAGCGTGGACTCGGCGGCAGACGTAAAGGAGAAGGCTGAGAGCCTCCTTCCCCCTTCCTGCTGCACAACTCTGCAAAGACCCTCACCAGGTCTGTTTGTATGTAAGGAGCCCGAGCTCGCTGGGCCCCTTACAAGTGAAATCATTTGGAGGCATATTCTCTCGGGGAGAGGGAGGGGGCAATTGCCCCGTTGCCCCCCCTGGATCAGCCACTGCATCCCACCCACCAACAATACGAAAGCATAGCAGACACCTATCGTTTTGGGCAGGCAGGTGCCTTCTCTAAGGCTGCCGACCGCCGCCAGCGGTGCCCCTCCCTGGCGACCTATTGCTGTGTGCCCACAGAGAGGGCTTGGCGTGCCAGCTATGGCACACGTGCCATAGGTTCGTCATTGTTGATATAGGGGAAACAATTTGTTTCCTGCAACATTATATTATTCTCTAAACAATACATTGGTTTTAATATGAATTGAAAACTGAATTGGAAAAAATGTATACTAAATTGCGCAAGCTGAGACTATAACTGAGTTGCAGAATACACCCAAACCAGTAATTAATGCCTACATTTTGTAATTCAATTTCAGTTCATTATAATTAGTGTTTAATGAATAAATGACAAATTATGCATTACCTCACGTTACCACTGTATTTTTAAAACATTCTTCAGTAATTTTATTTGTGTTAACAATATGATTTATAGATAATTGCCCAATTTGTAAAAGAAAAATGTTGGTATCTCCCAAAAGCTGTAATAACTTTTGCATTAAAATTGTGCCAGGTATAAATTAATGTTACTAATTACTGTATCTTTAAAATCATATTAATGAGGAACCATTTTGTAAAGCCTTGAGACAGACCTTGAAATGCTGATTTTCAAAAAGAAAAAAAATTCAGGCTAATTTTTAAAGGGGAACTGTCACTTTCCAGGATTTTCAACATTTTGTATACTTATTCCTCTATTTAACAAATATGTATTTATGAGTTTTCAAAAATAACATTAAAGCACCAATCACTACAGAGTGCTGTAATAGTTATTGTGCTAAAAGTGCCCAGCCACTCCTCATCGTAAAGAGTCAAACCATATTAGAATGGTTTACCTTCTTATCTGGAGTCCACTCCCTGAATCCGCTGCTGTTCTGTGAGAGCCAGAAGGAAGAATAAGATATAGTGTAGTATTTGGGTTATTGATTGGAGGAAACAAAAAGAAATGCACTTGCAGTGTACGAAGCTGATAATTAGCTCCAATTTATCAGCTCCATACACTGTAAGTGCATTTTTTGTGTACTCCAATCAATAAGCCACATACTACACTATATCCTTCTCCTTGTCCTCTCTTTTCGTATATTTAGATGCTGCTCCCCTTCTGTTACAAATAAACTACTTGTGCCTGGCAAGAAGAGACTCTGGTTTGGGCTGTTCGCGCTACCTACCTTATCATACAACAAGTGCAAGAAACCTACTATCTTGTTATCTATGCTACAAGATGTGACTGTCAGGAAGGGGAGCACTGTGCTGCTCTCTCCTCCAGCCGGTCACCTAGCCTGGACGTTACGCCCCACGCCCTGGCAAGAAGCTCTCATATCTAAGCTAAGCTCAGTGCTTTCATCCAATGTGCTAACCTTTGTTATACCACAGTTTGACTGCTAACAATAGGTAGGTGCCACCATTACCACGTCAGTGCGCTGTAGTGATTATGGTGCTTTGAATTTTCCTTTAAAGGGACATTCTAGGCACTATAACCATTTGTTTTTCTTGTATTATCAATTTTACTACAGTTGTAATCAAATGATTCAACGCCCATTGAAAATCAGGTTTATTGTCAACATTTACAGACTTTCGGCTGCAGACGTTGCATTTTTAGTTTAATTTGGGGAAACCACTTGAAACGTTTGTTGTGTTGAGCAATTTCAACTGATTTTGTTTGATTTGTTCAGTGCAAACAGCTGAAAGTGTGAAAACTGTGACAATAAACCTAAATTTGTGGGGTTGAATAATTTTGATTACAACTGTAAGTCATATTAAGTGCATTTAGTGTAAAAGTGCTTCTTTGTATTCAAGCACCACAAACAATACAATACTCTATAATGGTTACGGTGCCAGGGGTCCCCTGACATCCCATCATTGTTAGTGGGGCGCCACTTCCCGTCTTCACAACTGCTACAGGAGAGCTGGAAATTTTGTGTCTGGAGGTACAGCCTAGAGGTTCTAGCATATCATGAATGCCTCAAAAAGAAACTGTCAAAACAGGACAAAAAACAGAAGATATATGTTTCCAACTACCCCACATCGCAATCTCCCACCAGTCATCATTTATTATAATTAATGATGGAAAAGTCACCTCTCTGCATTATTTGTAATACATGCCTATGGAATCTCATTTCACATGTGCGAGGTCTACGACGGGTTCTTCGGTCTTGCAAATTACGTTTTGAACTCTTACACAAGCTAACACCATAACCGACTCATTTCTTGGGAACTTTGCACTAGCAATAGCATTACAAAAATGCTGATAATTAGGATTGGAATTTTTTTTTACACATTTTTTATCGTACTTTATTTGAAAGACATCTTTCAATAAAAGTCACAACTAATTTATCTTTACATTTACTTTAAAATGTGGGTCAATATGATTTGGTTTATCTGCGTATGTCGAGATGGTTTAATATTTTGTAAAAAATGCACTCTTTTTAAACCTTATGTGGTTTTGCTTCCCCCAAATTCAACAGCTGTGTTGTTTTAAAACAAGTTGGCAAGGTATGATGTTGGTTTATCTGCGTATGTCGAGATAGAATGTTTTTGCATATTTCCAGGCACTCTTTTTAAACCATGTATTTTTGCTTCCCCCAAATTCAACAGCTGTCTCTTGTTTTAACAAGTTGGCAAGGTGAGGATGTCACGCATCCAAGAAGTCTCTCTAGAATGTTTTTGCATGTCCAGGAAATAAAGAGGATTTTCATAATATTGAGTGTTTTCTCTAGGATATTTCTCTTACTAGTTGCATAAATCACACGTTCCTGTTAACACATATACGTTGGAGAAACTTTCATATTTACGGAATACATTTTCCATTAATATACTAATCAACCCGATTTAGAGCCAGTAGTAAGAAAATCATGAAATCTTTCATGATTTTAAAAGTCTGTGTAGACCATTATATGCAGTTTAGAGTTCTTAGTGCTTGTGATTTAGGGTGAATATGTGATTATGCTTTGCTGTGAGATTAACATGTGGATACGAAAGGGACACTTAGGTCCTCTAAAGCATTTGAACTTGATTGTATGTCACCTTTTTAAAATAAGCCAGAGGTGTGAAATGTCAACAGAAATCTGTATCTATAAATCCCCTCAGTAACACTTCACGTCTGTCAAGCAGACTGATTCTTTATGTCAAGCATTGTTGGTGGATTGTGACAATTGAGGTGAGGTACACGTGCTGTTTGTCCTGATTCTTCTCGGATTGATTGGTCATGTCATCAGTATTCAGGTTGCAGTGAGGAAACTGTCTCCGTGCTGAAATAAAGGTGGATTTAATAGCATTTCAATACCTTTAGGGCTGAAATGAAGGACTTAATAACTAAACTATAGCGTTTCTTTAATTTAAATTTTACAACATAACAGATGTGATGTGTACATAGGGTGTTATCTGGCACACTGTCACAGTTCTCACTTGTCTCCAGGACTGGAGGCTGGACTTTACCCGTGGCTGCTCCTCTTCTCACTGTGACATCCAGACGTGGTCACCCCAGAAGTTACCAACAGGGGATTTGAACTCTGCACTATTTCTGCTTTAATCCTGCTGTCTTGCCTCTGGACCACACTTCAGTTCTTGTTTCTGCCTGTTTATCCTCACCTTGTCTCCAGGATTGGGGACTGGACTTTACCCGTGCCTGCTCCTGTTTAGCCCACCTGTAGCAGATCATTAACTTCGGCTTTCTACGACTACTCTTCTGCTTGTCCTTGCCTGTACTGCGACTTGGAGCTATATCCTGCACAGCCCCCGTGCACAGACTCACAGCCCAGGTGGCTTCTTATCTTGTCACTTTGGTCTGTGTTTATCTGCAAGGGTGAGCACACATCTCTGCCTACCGGACTACCACCTCAGGTAAGACCCTGGCACACACAAAAGCAGTCAAGAGCAATGTTGCATAATGTAGTAAAATTAAACATTTGGCTATGATTTGTAAGCCATGGCTCACTTGATGGGCACAATCAATATGAAATTGGTATACCGTCACACCATCCTTTCATTGTCCTTGCATTGGGGTATACTCAACTTTTGCATCCTTTTCACTACCAGGAAAATTCCATGGAGTGTTTCAAAGCTTTTTCTGAGCAATCTGTGTAATCTGAATACACAAAAAGGAGGTACGCTTGTGAATTAGTAAACTTATTTATGTGCAAATATATGTAACAAGTTGGGCAGGGCCGGTGGGGGTGATCCCGGTCCACTTCTTGGAGGCCCATCGCAACCACCACAGTACAACACAACCCTGAAATAAAGATACACAAAGTCAGCAAGCTACACTAATGATGGATGCCACAAGCTATCCTGACAGTCACCACAAACCGGCAGATATGCTTACCAGGCTTAATACTCTCTTTGAAGATTTCTGGAGAAGACTGTACAGACGTTTACACCCCCTCTGCAACTTGAAACGCAACATGAAGCACCCCAGAGCTCAATACCCATCACCGCTGGGTAGTCAGGGAGCAAGCTCGAAAATGGTGGCCAAAATCGAAGTGCCACCGGAAGTTAAAGGCTGCATCACCCAAGGGTTTGGGCCCAGGCCCTTGGCGTCCATACCTGAAGACCCAGCCGTTACCCAGAACATCGAGGGGACTATCCCAAGGGCTGCAGTTCCTATTGCTCTGCATCGGCTGGGCATTGTAGATGAGCCATCCTGGGCTGAGTGCTGGCCTGTACATGTGGTCACAGTGGGGGAGGGATCTCGCATCAGAGGGTGTGGGATGATCTGAAACTTGCTCCTATTGGCCTCGCGATTGGGTACTTTTTTATTTTTTATTATTGACTCGAACGGTTACAAACATTCTGCAATGAGCCTGTTAGTAACAGGTTTAATGCTAAAGGCCTCTGAGATAAGCACTCTTCACTCTACTTCTTGCTTAACATCTTAACCCTTCAAATGCAACTATTGTTACAATTATTTTCATGCTTCTACCCTCTGACAGGTTCTATACCAAGCTTAAATTTCCAATACACAAATAAATCTTACTAGACATATACCTGTTTTTTTTGTACTGTCTTTCTAGACCTTCATGTTTAACTCTGCACTGAAAAAAAAAAGAATCTAAATAAATAAAAAATAAAAATAAAAAAAATATATATATGTATATATACACTGCTTAAAAAAATAAAGGTAACACAAAAATAACACATCCTAGATCTGAATGAATTCAATATTCTTCTGAAATACTTTGTTCTTTACATAGTTGAATGTGCTGACAACAAAATCGCACAAAAATTAAAAAATGGAAATCAAAATTTTCAACCCATGGAGGTCTGGATTTGGAGTCACACTCAAAATTAAAGTGGAAAAACACACTACAGGCTGATCCAACTTTGATGTAATGTCCTTAAAACAAGTCAAAATAAGGCTCAGTAGTGTGTGTGGCCTCCACGTGCCTGTATTACCTCCCTACAACGCCTGTGCATTCTCCTGATGAGGTGGCGGATGGTCTCCTGAGGGATCTCCTCCCAGACCTGGAATAAAGCATCTGCCAACTCCTGGACAGTCTGTGGTGCAACGTGAAATTGGTGGATGGAGCGAGACATGATGTCCCAGATGTGCCCAATTGGATTCAGGTCTGGGGAATGGGCGGGCCAGTCCATAGCAACAATGCCTTCGTCTTGCAGGAACTGCTGACACACTCCAGCCACATGAGGTCTAGCATTGTCTTGCAAACTCTCTTTCAATTTGAGTAAAATAATGTATAAGTATGTAACAAAATTAATGATTTACAAAATTTAAGAAAGAGAATCTTTATATGCAAGCATAATGAGTTGTAAATCTTGAATCTCGTTATATATTTGCACATGAATTTGTTTATACTCAAGGAGTGCACTGACCATCTTCCATATTTATCCATATACGTTTCCATGTATTGAACGGTGTAATTCGAGCCGAGTTAGGGCTTTCAATCCACTAGTGATTTGCACTATAGAAGTTAGGAAGAGATGAACTCCGACAGATACTATTTTTAATGTACCTCACATAATTTTATGTATATTGATTTTCATATTACACATTCTATTTTTACACTACTTGTTCACATCCCATTCTCTTAAGTGTGATGATTTATAAATTTAATTTATACATTTTGTAGATATGTGATATATATTTATTACTCTTTTGGCAATTTTTTATATACATATTGCACTATTGGTTTATTATTTCTTTTACATGTATGCAAATTTTTTCGAGATCTGAAAACAGATTTTGATAAGTATTCGTTCACAAGCGCAACTCTTTTTTTTAAATTATATTTTAGACTGGTGGCGAGGGAACAGTCATTTTTAGAGTGTTTTTGCTGCTCACGTAGTTTTCTGCACATATTTTGTATTAGAGCGCCTTTTAATTCTCACTTTTATGTTGTTGTATTCTGTATAATTTATGCGTGAAATCCATGAAAAGTGTGTGCAGGAAATCGTGGCCACACGTTTTGTTGGTTTTCATTGCCACAAAAAAAAAAAAGCATTAATCCATAAGTACCGTTTTGCTCAGAAAAATAGTTTGTAGTCTTTTCAGTGATCCATAATTTCTACTACAGATTCTAAATTGAGCTGACTGTATAGAAATAGTTCTGCTGATAATCTATGGGCAAAAATGAGAGCTTAAATAAGCAAACATCTCTCCTCAAACCGTAGACAATATTACTACTTTTACATGTGCAGTGAGGACGTTTAATGTTTCAATACTTATGAGTTCTGCAATTGCCTTCAGAATAACTGCATTCCAATAAAATGAGCTCAGTCTCTAAAGTTCAGAAATAATCCCCCTCCTTTAAATATTGTTAATATTTAATTTTGCTAGAGGAAAAATAAATAAGCATTTGCTATCTTGGAATGTTAAACATTTTATTTTTTTTAAATGGTACTAATATTATTAAAATTAAGAATAATATTAATGGGGTCAAAGTCCCAAACAAGAGGGCTAAGTATGTGTAATGCCAAACTTGCCATATATTTCTTTATATTTAAATCACAAGCCTTATGTAAAAATACACTTTCAAATTATACGCGTGTATTTGGTACATTTAAATTCTAGAGATTCTATATCCCTGATTGGCAGTTTTGCAAAAATTAATATAGTTCAGAGAGAAACAGAGACAGAGATGGTGTGTGCAAAACATCTATCAACTGTATGTTAAGAATGTAGGGAATTTTCTCTGTGAATTCTCTGTGCTATTTACTACGTGCTATGCATTACAGATTTGTGCAGACTCCCAGCTCCGTCTCGTGTGGAAATTCAAAAATACAGAAATAAACCCATATCTGCCACTATTGCACATATATATAAAAAATATATAACATGAAGCATCTTACCTGGCAGTGTAAGGGGAGGCATACAATGTTGTGCAGACGTTGGGGTTATGGGAGAAGCGATGAAAGCTGGGAGTGTGAGAATGAGGGTCTTGGAGGAAGGAGGAGAACTCAGCTGCAGCTCTTGCAGAAATAGTTTGCAGTTTGGCTCCCTTCATGCATCATATTTATTCGCTGTCCTCAAATAACCCTGGGAAGAAAAGAGAGAGAGTGAGGAGTAGCGTGAGCTCTGCTGCAAATCTTTTCCAGAAACACTCCATTTTATCTTAGATTACCCTCTTATTCCCATTCTTTTATCAGGGACAAATTTACATTTATCTTGTTCCAAGTTGGGTTGAGGAAGACTATTTCGGATTAGTTGTCCCAGGACCAAGACGTGCCTTTCTATGTCCTGGATTGCAACTGTACAGAAAAGTTTAAAATAAACCTTTAATTAAAAAGAAATCACATTCCTGAAATCACTCCCGTATATATTGAGCGTCCTCTTTATTATTGGTTGGTAATCAGCGAAGGTCAGCCAATGAGACATCAGTGTGAGCTAAGTGGCTGACTTGACTCCTTACCCGCAGCCAATCTGTATTTCTTAGCTGTGGTAAGGGGAAAGGGAACAGATAAGAGGACAGTGATTGGTTATTGGGTGGAGTAAGGTCAACAACTCAACTCATACTGATCTCTCATTGGCTGAGCTGTGAATATTTGCGCACTATCTCAAATCCTGATGTATATTTAAATAACTGGAGGTTTTTAGTATCACTCCAATGACCATTGGATGCAAGCCTACCTGCCATGTCAAGGCAAACCTCATAGGGGAGTCCTACACTAACAATTCACCATGCTTTCTTCTGCTTCAGTAAAAAAATAAATAAATCTCTAACGACACAGAGAGGGGTATTTTCTAAACCCTTACATACTTATTAACTTTTAATAGGAAACACATGGGGTGGGTGGCAGCATTTGTTTATCCTCTTTGTAAATTCCAAATTCCTGGGTATATGACATGTAAGTCACAAAAAAACTGTGTATATACAAGGCACAGGGGTTGAGAACAATGCTGTATATACAAAAGAACATCTAAAAACACAAGATAATAGATTATAATATTTGAAGTTCATAAAAACAGGAGACCTACTACCTGTTATATCCTGGAATGAAAACAACATAAAGATAATGAACTGTGCTAATAAAATTACACAAAATACAGTTAAAGGAACAGTGCACACACAAAAAAACAAAACACAGTTTTAAATTTTACAAGGCAACTTAACATCACTTATCTTAGCCTAAGCGAGTGGAAGAACATGACATGCCTTAACCCCCCTTGCAATTATTCAATGAGGATGACCAGGGCCGCCATCAGGGGGTGACAACCATAACACTGTATGTATGTGTCTTTATGTCCTCATGCATGTGTGTCTGTATGTATGTTAGTATGTGTCTGTCTGTCACTATGTATGCCTGTGTGTATGTCTCAGTATGTGTGTGTCAGTATGTATGCCTGTGTGCGTGTATGTCTGTTTCAGTATGTGTGTCTGTTAGTATGTATCTGTGTCCTTTTGTATCAGTGTGTGTGTTTGTGTCTGTGTGTGTATTCCTGTGGGCGGTATTTGGAGGCAGACCCAGTGGGCCTTATTTGGAGGTGGGCCCCAGACCCTGAGCTGAGTTAGGGGCCCCAAAATTTCTGGTGGTGGCCCTGAGGATGACCCATATGCGCCACCTAGGTTATCCGTTATGAATGAGTGGCAAGCAGAGCATTCCATTTCTAAGGAGGAAGATCACTGGAAGCATACACCACACGGAGATTTACAATATGTGAAGGAATCCATTGTTGGACACTCATTCAATGGGTGAAATCTCTTCATATTGCAGTGGAGGATGATGAGACATTTCAGGATAATCTATTATTTTACCCGCACTACATCTGTCGCTCAAGGTCTTCTGAGTGGTCTCTCCCAGAACATCTGAACAGGTTTGCTCACTTTTGGTGAGGAAAGCCTTTGGAGTGGGAGGTGAGGAATCACCTCAGGGCCGAATGTCCGAGACCCTCACTCCTGGATAAAATATCCCAGACCCAAGAATGTTCACCAGCCTTACAGCCACCATTGTAGTTTTCACGTTCCAGACAGGATGGGATCCCAGGAAGGGAATTGAGAAGGGATTAAAGGCCATGCAGGATAACCTCCTCGACATGCTGGGACCGCTGGCGAAGATGCTCTCTATTGCTAAATTCGCCTTGACACAGGGTACCCAACTTGACCCTAATAGTATTAGAGAATGGGCCCTGCTTTCTAGCTGCGTACTAGGAAACACAAATACTGTGATCTAATATGTAAAGCAGCCTTACTGCATTGACTTGAAACTCTGAGACCTGGGCTCCAAACAACTGTGACTGTTGGCCAAAGGCCTACTATTCAGAGAGTCATTAATAAAAGAATTACAGAAACACTTCAATTTATTTACAAAACTCAACAAATCACAAACATCTATGAAACATGTTTCAACCATCTTCCACGCGTGTGTCAGGAACGTTCGGGAATCCTACACGCAGAATGCAAATACTGTATACCGGACCTTAGGATGGCCGGACTAACACTACACACACAAAAAGAATAGTCAAATAGTGAACCGAGGTCAGGGGTACCAGAAATCAGGATCAACGATAATGTAATAGCCCAGGTCAAAGGAACACAGAAGGAGGAATAGACATACAAAGTCAGAATACCAATATGGAATATACGCTCTTGGGTCAAACAAGAACCACAACAGGGCAATGAGTCTCTCCCTGGTTTCTCTTTTTAAATACGTGTTCACTTAAGTAGGTTACCACGCTCCCAAAATGTTCTCGTTCGAACACCTAGGCCAGCCGTGGCATTCTAGTGTCATGATGTCAGCGCTCATTAGCCATTTCATAAAAGGAGGCGGGTTTATCGCAGCTGGCTTAAGAATCACTAGAGACAAGCTGAAAGTTAGTAGGAGTGTCCCCAGTACCCTGCAATGAGATGCCAGCCTGTGAAATGCCCCTGACTGATACACAAGGTAACCTGATAGTACCCCCCCCCCTCGAGGATCGACCACCGGGCAGTAAGAGCTAGGATGCCTTGGAAACCAAGAGTGTAAAGAATGGACCAAGCGGGGAGCATGAATGTCAGAACCAGCCACCCAGGACCTGTCCTCAGGACAGTATCCCTTTCAGTCCAGCAAATAGTCCAGAGAACCCCTAGAAATCCTCCTGGTCCTCCACCTGAACTGGAGAAGGGGGTACCACAGGACTAGTGAACCTGTTACACATCAAGGGTTTCAATAAGGATACGTGGAAAACATCGGGGATGTGAAAGGAGTGAGGCGATTCAATACAATACGCCACAGGCTTGACCCGTTTAACCACCTTAAAAGGACCAATGCTCGGTGCTAATTTCATAGACGGGACTTTAAGGCGGATATGTTTTGTACTCAACCAGACCTTATCACACTCTCAGACATAGGCAATTGAAGTATGAAATCCATGCTTGCCCAAGGTTTATTGTCGATAGGTTGCAGTAACCCACTGTGGCGGACCGCCTGGCATCATGACCGCGTGCCTCTGTCAATCGATGCTCCTAGTGCTCATCAAGTACTTCCAGCACTCCATCAGACACTATCAGTACTGTAGTCCCCACTTCCAGCATTACAGCTTGGTTGGGGTCTTGCTGTCTACCCACCCTAGACCGGGATCCAACTTCCAGTGGGTAGACCTCTCCTCCAAGAGGGTGTAGCAATATGCTAAGTGATTATAATCCCAGGGGAGTATAGTGATATAGCAATCCCCAGGGTAGATCCAGCCGTTTCCCCCACACATGAGATGAGGCTCTATGTTGAGGATAAGCAGGTACTCCTTTGATGGGAGCCTCAACTGGCCTTATATGCAAGTCCCCATGCAAGGGGTACTCCCACTTGGACAAAGTTGTTTATACTCATTTTCCTGGCCCCCACCCTCAGGGTCCGCCTCCCGCCCGGCTCTGGAAGGGGGAAGGGGGAAAAACTTACCTTTTTCTGCTATGTTTATAAAAAAATGGGTTAACCCTAGAAGGACCTGGCACCCAGACCACTTCATTAAGCTGAAGTGGTCTGGGTGCCTAGAGTGGTCTTTTTATCAATATCCTGTTATCCCAATATTTTCTTTTGTCCCGAAGTTTCACAAAAACCCAAGAGAACCATCAGGGAGACCCATCATTAGTGGGATTAAATCCATAATGGCACACCTGTCAGAGTTTATAGACCACCATCTGCAGAAATATGCACAGGAGGCACCCTCATATTTGAGGGACTCCTCCCATATTCTTGAAATTATGGAAAATGTTTAATGGGAAAAGGATTTCATATGGGTAAAAATAGATGTAACTTCATTATACACTGTAATTAAACATGACATGGGGGTCAAAGTTTGACTGTTAATCAGTTCCCCCCACTTTTTACAATAACAGACTAAACAAACTTAACAGGCTAATTCTCGATGGTGAGGGTTAGTATGGGAGTCCAGCACGATATAAGTGTGGGTGATTCTTGTGTCGGTGAGTTCACCGTAGTGCTCCCCGCAGTGTCCAGGAACTCCTTTTGCCCTCATTCGATTCCCAGCTTAGGGGGAGGTTGCAAAGCTCTCAGTAGGTGATTCCCTGCTGGTGGAGTTTCGCCGGTGCGGAGTGCCGCATGTGTGTGCTGCTGTTGGGAGTCACCCTCTTTAGATGCTGTGGGAATCAGTGCCCCTGCACCATGGGCCTTGTTCCGGTTTCCCGCTGCAGCATGTCCCGTGCGCCCCGAACGGCCAGCGCTCCGGTACCTTCTTGGCATCCACCTAGTTTGTAGTGAGTCTCGTAGAGCAGGCACACTGCGTGGAGACCTTGAAGTTGCGTCAGCATCTTGTGAACAGGTATGGAGCTCTAGATCTTTGGGGTAGGCTGTTGCAGATGTGTTCCATTAGTGGTGTGGTGCGGCAACGATCAGATCGTGCAAGAGGAATCCGGCAGAGCTGCGGGCTAGAGCTCCCCTGGTCCTCTCCTGCCTCCCTCCATGCTCCTGTGGGACGGTGAGGTAGATCTTTGATCTCCCCACCGGCCCATGGGGGCTTAGAACAGAGCCGACGCTCAGATAGTGCCGGTTCTGCATCAGCCGACATCCTGAGATCTCCCCTGCCGGTCTCAATCCATAGGCGTGCCATAGGCACCCCGTGCGCATGCCTATGCATGCAGCAACCCGGAAGTGATCACTCCGGGGGGAGTGATCACCCGGTGTTCTCCGGCGGCCCGGCAGTGAGGGGGGTATTGCAGTCATGCCTCAATATCGAGGCATCACTGCATTACCATTAGAGCTGCTGCAAGCAATCATGATTGCTTCCAGCGCTCTAAGTCCCCGCGGAAGTATCAGGTACGTCCGCGGTCCTTAAGTACCATTTTTTGTCGGACGTACTTGATATGCCCTTGGTCACTAAGGGGTTAAAGGAACACTATAGTGACAAGAATACAGACATTTATTTATTTATATCCTTTTTTTTACCTCAGCTTTGTGTGGTCAAAGCTCTTCTTCAATACTTCAAAGCTATTGGTCCACTGCAACAGTCTCTCTCAAGTCAACTGCTTGTTTCATACATTAGCCCTCACAAACTGGTCTTTACCATGACTTTGGCGAGATGGGTTTGGTGGCTTCATTCCTTGGTGCGAGTGGACTCACAGTTTGGTGCTCACTCAGTTCGAGGCGCGACTGTGTCACAAGCCTAAACGTTGGCACTTCCTTACCCGATATTATGCATTCCGCTGACCAGTCTTGTGAATATACTTTACAGGTATTTTACTTTCGGACTCCTTCTCATGCTTCATTTGCCCTTCTTTCTTAGCGGTAAAAATGCTAAATATTAAGCCTCTTATCATGTAGTAAAATTGTAGATTATGCTAGCTTTAGTGTACTAAAATGTTAATTTTAATAATGACAGGAGGCTAATATTTTCCTTCCCTTCCCCCCGGTTGGAAACCTTTATTTTTGTACCTTTATTTAGGTTGTTATCTATTTTATAATTGTTTTTTACATGCTGTTTTTGTTTCATATTAACTGATCCCAACATTCTGAGTGTTTGTTCGGCATTATTATTCTTACTATTTGAACACGTGTTTATTCTATGATGTTTTGCTTATATTTTGACGTGTTGTTTTTATGCTTTTTACTATGTCCATAAACTTTCAGGTATTTCTCCTTTATTTCACACTAATTTACTTTGGTTCTTCTATTTTTGGAATCTCTTGGAATACTGCTCACTCTTTCATCTGACTTGGAATAATTGTGCATGTTTTATTTTTCTGCTGTATGATTATTGTTATTATCGTTCACATCAAAAAAAGAGGTGGTGCTCATTTGATGCAGGGCTTATATACCGCCCATTGCTTGTTTTTGATTGGTTAACAGTTTTATTCTGATCTGTACTTTAATTGAAGTACAATAAAAAGAGAAATGCTAAATATTCTCCTCCTGTCATTATTAAAATTAAGATTATAGTACCCTAAAACAAGCATCATGTACAATTATTACCTGAAAAACTGTAAACACTGTTTAGATATAATTTTCCTAGCACTGTTCATTACCTTTTATGAGAACAATCCTGTTCCTAGCACCTGTCAGATAGCACTAGGTCTATAGAGGGCAAAATAACTATAAAACAGAGAATATATTGGAAAGCTCTATACAAGAGTGAACTGCCCTACCTAGTAAATATGTATAATTTCATTCTGACACATATCCGTAACAAAGTAAGTTATATATTTACATAATATTTACAATGAATCTCCCTAGCGGCTCAGTGAGTTATTCACAAAAAAATTCTTTGTGAAACACTCTGATGGAGTTATCAATTTCCAAGGCTTGTGAAATTCCAACCACATCAATAAATATACAGAAACAAAGTAGGGTCTGTGTATCTGCATTTGTGTTAGTGTGTGTATCTGTATGACTGTGTATCTGCGTGTCATTGTGTGTTCCAGTGTGTCTGTGTATCTGTATGTATTTCATTGTGTGTGTTGTATATCTGTGTATCTGTATGTGTGTCAGTGTTTGTATACGCGTGTTCGTGTATCTGCATGAGTGTCATTGTTTGTTTCTGTTTGGCTTTGTATCTGCATGTGTGTCAGTGTTTGTATCTGTGTGTCTGTGCATCTGTATGTGTGTATTTGTGTGTGTCTGTGTATCTAAATGAGTATCAGTGTGTGTATCTGTGTGTTGTTGTTTGCTTCTGTGTGTTTCTCTGTGCATTTGTCATTGTGTGTGTCTATGTATCTGTATGTGTGCCACTATTTGAATTTGTGTGTGTATCTGTGTGTCTGTATGTATGTGATTGTGTATTTCAGTTTGTCTGTATGTGTGTACATGTGTATATTTGTGTGTCAATGTATGTGTGTATATGTATCTGTATGCGTGTTAGTGTGTGTATACGTGTGTCTGTGTAGCTGCATGTGTGCCTGTGTATCAGTATGTGTGTATGTGTGCCAGAGTATATGTGTACACAATATACAGAGATAGATAGATTTTATATACATACATCTGAGCATACAAATACCAAAACTTCTTACAAACACCCCTTGTATTAAAACACCAACATAAACCTAGTACTACACAATTGCACAAATGGATTAAAACACCAACACTACATACAAACACCCCTACATACAAAAGCAAACACTACACATTAGTACACCACTGCTTTCAAATGGCAGTCCATAAAAACACAAAACTGCATACAAATGCCAACACTACACACAAATACACCCTTACATTCACACATACAAATGTCATGCAAAAATATGCTAACATTCAAACACACAAACACATGTCAGTGTTAAACACAACCCTGCAAGGATGAGCAAATGGTAGATCCCCAGCTGGCAAAGCATTAAGGACTAGTATGACAGATTGGGATCTACCATATGACAATCCTTGAGATTACTTCTGCAACTGAGTGATCCATGTATATCTGTATAGTAATATCTGCCATTAATGTGCCTATTGAACTGCTAAGAAACATACACAGGGTCATTAACACCTACTCCAACAAACACACTATGATGATTAAACTTCTATATATCAAAAGACTGTATAAAAAACAGGTTGTGGGAAACACTCACAAAGAGAATCATGCAGAATGTATTTCATGGAACAGGTCTTACAGCCTTCTGCATCACCCACATGCAGTACATGAATAGAACCACTGTGCACCATCAAAAATCAAGTCTGTTGATGTGTAAGATAAATGCAGAAAGGTGTATGAATGTGTCTTTTCAAGAGTGGCATTTAAAAGAAGCAGAGTATATAAATGGCTGGATACCACTGACCCTCCAATGACGTTTTGGAATTCAACATGTCTCTATGTCTTTAACCCACTATAGCATTCCAGGGATGCTGGTCAGACTGGAGAGATTGGAAACTTTTGAAATATGAAAAAACATTAATAAACCCATTAGTGCTATTTCTGTTTGCATATGTATTTCTAGCACAAAAACACAACTTTCCAACAGCAAGTTTAAGGAAGTGTCATTTAATTAAAATCCTTGTGATTCATGAATAGGTTGTGATTGATACACTAATTGGAACAGAATTTATACACTCAAAAGCAATTTATCACTCAAAGCAATTAACAGATTATGGTAACTAGTAATAGTATATTTTTTTAGATCAAGTTTGTGAAGTCTACATTTTGAGATAAGGTCATTAAAGGGACACCCAGGCACCATAACAAGCTTGTTGTCAAGCTTGACAAAGACCATCAATTTACTCTACATATTCAATGAGGGGTTTCGCCTGCCCCTGATCCGGTGCATCGTGGTAACTTGGTGAGTGCGGTATCCTCCAGTCAACTAGACTAGCCCAAGCTGAGATAACCCTCTAGTTACCAACACTAATCACAATAGCCACTTTTCTTGGAACAATATCCTGGCCGGGCCTATTTTCATCGCTCATTTTTTATACACGTGACATCACAGGAAGTGAAAAAATTGTGTATGCAAGATTGACAGACTTCCTCGAGTCCAACTCTCTGCTAGACCCGCTTCAGTCTGGTTTCCGCGCTAACCACTCTGTGGAAACGGCACTGACCAAAGTATCCAATGATCTACTTGCTGCAAAATCTCGTGGTCACTACTCTATCCTAATTCTCCTTGACCTGTCTGCGGCTTTTGACACTGTTGATCATCAACAGCTTCTTCTCATCCTGCGCAATATCGGTCTACAAGATACTGCTCTCTCCTGGTGCTCCTCCTACCTCTCCCAGTGCTCCTTCAGTGTTTCTTTCTCTGGCTCTTCTTCTTCTCCCCAACTCCTCTCTGTTGGTGTTCCCCAAGGTTCAGTCCTTGGTCCCCTACTGTTCTCCATCTATACTGCCTCGCTTGGTAAACTCATTAGCTCCTTTGGCTTCCAATATCATTTCTATGCAGATGACACGCAAATCTACCTGTCCTCTCCTGATCTCTCCCCGTCCCTCTTGACTAGTGTCTCTGACTGCCTCTCTGCTGTTTCTTACTGGATGGCTGCCCACTTCCTTAAACTAAATTTGACCAAAACTGAAATTATGGTCTTTCCTCCCTCAAGTGTTGTTATTCCTGTGTCTGTCTCCCTCCAAGTCAACGGTGCTACCATCAGCTCCACCATGCAGGCTCGCTGCCTAGGTGTTCTCTTTGACTCCGACCTCTCCTTCAAGCCTCATGTTCAATCTATCGCCAAATCCTGTCATTTCTATCTCAAAAACATTGCGCACATCCGCCCCTACTTAACGCCAGATGCGACTAAGGTGTTGGTCCATTCCACTGTGCTTTCTCGCCTTGACTACTGTAATCCGCTTCTCAGTGGTTTTACGTGCTCCCAACTAGCGCCTTTACAGTCCATAATGAATGCGGCAGCAAGGCTCATTTTCCTGTCCGCCCGCACCTCCCATGCCTCACCCTTCTGTCAGTGCCTACATTGGCTTCCTATAAAATATAGAGCTCAATTTAAAATTTTGGTTCTTGCTTTCAAATCTCTACATAATGCTGCTCCCACCTATCTATCCCCCCTTATACACAAGTATGTCCCGTCTAGGCCCTTACAATCTTCTGTCCGTACTCCCACCTCTGATGTTCGCCTTCAAGATTTCTCGAGGGCTGCACCGTTCCTGTGGAACTCGCTTCCCTCCTCTGTTAGATGCTCACCCAGTCTCGACTCCTTCAAAAAATCATTAAAAACCCACTTCTTCATAAAAGCGTATCAATTAAACTGTTAATAGCTCCTGACTGATTCCTCTTCTGCAACTGTCATTAGTCTAATACTATCCTTACCTTTTTGTGTCATTTTACCCCACTCCCTCTAGCATATAAGCTCATTGAGCAGGGCCCTCAACCCCTCTGTTCCTGTGTGTCCAACTTGTCTGGTTACAAATACATGTCTGTTCGTCCACCCATTGTAAAGCGCTGCGGAATTTGACAGCGCTCTATAAATATCATCATAATAATAATAATAATATAACAAAAAATAAGTCCATGTGTTTCTCTAATACCCTCTTGTCCATGTGTGTCAGGGTTTGAAGTGTAGAAGCACAGGATGCAAAAGTCAGAACAAAGATGAGAAAAACAGACATTAGGTACAGACAAGGAGAATCCAGGAAGCATAGTAAGGCAAAGGGGTCGGTATAGGCAGGAAAGGTTAACAGGCAAAGAGAAAGGCTCAACAACCAGGAATGATGTAACCCAGGCTTCCCCAAACTCCGTGTGGGGAAGCCTGATGTAACCTAATAGATATGAGGAAGTGTTTATTGTGACTTTTTGGTGTGGGATAGCTGGGTAACACCCCTCCTGGGTCGTCAGCATTACTTTTGAATCATTCTGCTCACCTACGCTATAACTTGTGCCATTTTGGATGCAAGTGTTCCTATGTTGTCAGTAATAAACACCCCGGCATAGATGGTCACATCAGAAACTGTTGTGATGGATGCCCTCTGAACAATATATGTTCAACAGTAGTTGTACACTATAATGCTCCCCTCTTGTATCAGTCAATAAGTTCCAGAATTTGCAGTGCCAGTATTTATACAATATATGCACCAGCCTGGTAGTTACAAATAACAGCTGGCCAGTTGGCAACCCAAGGGCCAATGAGGCCCTGTCTAAATTATGCAAATAGCAGTGACATATCAGCCCGGTGAAAATACTCAAATACCACATTTTAAAGGGTTACTCCAAGCACAAATGACCACTTAAGTGACTTGAAGTAGTCATGGTGCCTGAAGTCTGTACACTCAGTGGTTTTGCTATGAAATGCTGCACATACAGAGTTTAAACCCTCTCGGGGCAGCATCATTGGGAGGTCACTATAGTTTCCCTTTAAGCCAGGCTTCCCCAAACTCCGGCCCTCCAGATGTTGCTGAACTACAACTCCCATGATTCTTAGCCTATCTATTTCATTCATAGAATCATGGGAGTTGTAGTTCAGCAACATCTGGAGGGCCGGAGTTTGAGGAAGCCCGCTTTAAGCATTTGGACACCCCTGGTGTGTCCTCCTGGTGCACTGATTATGCCATCTCTGGTGTATTGTAAGTTTTTTTGTAATTGTCCTATTTATAGTTAAATCCCCCCTCTCATAATATTGTAAAGCGCTACGGAATCTGTTGGCTCTATATAAATGGCAATAATAATAATGTTTTTTTTTTTTTCTTGTAGCCTCAAGCTTTCTAATTTATATCTGTTTGCCTCAGTAATTGCCAGACTGACCATGTTTATTTATATTTTGAAACACACAAAATCTTTATTCTGGTGGTCATTTCGTTTGTATGTTGTAAGTTTATTAATTATTTTTCGTGCACATTAACCAACATTATAAAGAATTGATCTGTGGGCAGGGAAATAACAGTTAGTTTGCCAAAGAGATCATGCTTTGATTATTGCATTTATTTACTGGGACGAACAAAATGAAACGCTTCAGTGCGTTGCTATGGTAACAAAACCGCCCACTCCATGCGGACACACCGCCCATCTGCGAGTAGCTCTCTTACTACTGGCTGCGCTATTATCCCAGGAGGATTCCTATTGGTTAGTTACCTGTCAGTCACGTGAAGGTGGGATTCAAAAACCTGAACCGGAAGCGGAAGCAGGTACCGTACGGCAGGTGCGCCAAGTTGTAGGATGGATCAATGTGCGGTGAATGGGTTAATTATCAGGATTTCCATAGATACCGGGCCACAAACCAGGGCTCTGTGTGACTCTGGGAGCCTCCCAGCCTGGGTCACGTGATGAGCTGAACTGCTCTGTGGCCAGCAGCAGGGCAGTGCGTGAGGGTAGTGTGGGCATTAATGTTTACACATAGAGCTCCAGGCTGGTCACTGTCTAATGAGGCAGATTCCTGGGTAGTGTTACTGGCTCTTTTATTACTTTATTTACTATGACTTTTTATTTATTTTTTTATCATTATTAATTAGGAAGTACTAATTAAATTATATTTGTAAACACGTGTTTATAAAATAAAGTCAAAATTAAAGGACAACTGTCAGCTGAAAACTATTTTTTAATATAGTTCTTTCATCAAGTTTTTCAAAAGAAATAGGTGTTTTTTTTTTTGTTTTTTTTTAAAATGAAGTATTTTAGTTAAAAAGATTTAACTCATCCCTACCTTCAGTATATGACGGGGTCCTTCAGCCATATACATACACCTTGGGTCAGACAGTGTTTCAAAACTGACGGTTTCTGTAGTCTTAAAGGGGCACTCCCTAAAGCATTTAAACTTGCCTGCCGAAAAGCTTTGTGTGTGTGAAGAGTGTGTCTTTTTCATTTTGCAAAAAGTGCAGATTTCAATAGAAATTGACACTTTTCTAAATTATATGTGTTACACCGCCTTTGGCTTTCAGGTAGACTACGGTTACTGTTACTTTCTGGTTTGGTTAGTTCAGTGGAGCTAAAATCAAGTGGCATCAATTGCCCAGAAAACTTGCCTTGCAAAGACTTCTCATTGGGGAGTCTGTTAATGGACAGCCACAGAAAGCCTGGGTGGGTTAGAAGGGACAAACTAGCAGACAAGAGAAATGCAGGTTTTGCAAGAGATTTTTAGATATATCCCCAATGGAAAAATGCACAATTAAATGCATTACGTTTTCATTGGGGGTATATATACTAAACAGTGATTTTATATTTGGGCAGTGGAGTGTCCCTTTGCTTCTTTTCAGAGAGTGAAGCAGGGAAAAATATGGAAACTTACGGGTTACTCCCTAAAATGAGAATTGCAGAGATTTGAATGTAAACTTCAAATTGAAGGCCAAAAAAGCCAAACTGGAAGCAAATTTTTCTTGTTCAGCTATTTTGACCTCTCATTTGAAATTCACTTTGCATTCCCTGCAATTCTCACTTGAAGGGATACTATAGTGTTAGGAATACATATCTGTATTCCTAACACTGAAGTTCCTTCCGCCTCCCCAGCCAATAAAGAGTTAAAAATCCTTTATTTACTTACCTGTTTCGGTGCACTGCCTCCTGCAAAATCATCTTAGTGCGTTAGGCCCTCCCTTTAGAAAAGCATTGAAACAATGCTTTCCTATGGGAAGTTGACTGACGCTGGATGTCCTCATGCAGAGCGCGATGACGTCCAGCATCAGTTAGGTGACTTAAAAGTCGTCTAACAAGCAGGAAGTGCTTGTCGTGACTGTTTTAGTGCTACAATATAAACATTGCAGTTTCTCTAAAACTGAAATGTTTTACATTGAAGGACTAAGTGTGACAGGGACACTGCACCCAGGCCACTTCAATGAACGGAAGTGGTCTGGGTGCCTATAGTGTCCCTTTAAGTGAATAACTGTGTTACTCTCAGTCTTTAAAACTGTCTGAAACAAGGTGCATGTATATGGCTGAAGGATCCTGTTGTATACTAAAGGTAGGACTATTTCTAATTTGTTTTTGCATATACTAAAAATAAATATACAGTGGAACCTCGGAACTCAAACTTAATCCGTTCCCGAAGAATTAATGTAAAATTGATTAATCTGTTTCAGACCCCCAAAACTACAGCATTTTACACTTATATGTATGCATTAAAATGCAGAGATCACTCTAATAATAAGCACCTTACATGTATTTGAGTAGTTCCTGCCCTTCAACTTGCTAAAAACTTACTGTTGGTCATTATTACAATTATTTATAATAATTGTCTGACTTGAAAATGAGACATGACTCTTTGTTGTATGTTCGGGTACCAAGACAATTTTTACTCAAATTTCTTTTGTTCGACTTACGAATTGTTCGAGAACGGGACCATTCGAGCTCCGAGGTTCCACTGTATCTATTTTCTTTACAAATTTGACGAAAGGATTCTTATATTAAAAATAGTTTTGAGGTAACAGTTTCCTTTAAAGGAGCACTCAAAGCACCATAACAACTACACTGTGCTGTACCCATCGTATTAGTAGTCATTTGTCTAACAGCAGAAAGCTCTCTACTTGAGGTAAGCGCAGCGGTACAGGGCTTGGTTGGCTGGTAGTATTCAGCTGAAGCTCTCAATCAGTGAGCTGGCCATGCATCTCAAACTCTGCCCTCCCAGATGGTATACTACAATGTTTTTATTTACTAGACATCTATTGCATTCAAAGAATGGCTGTAAGCCGTCAACATGGGGGCCAGAGTTTGAGATCCCTGTTTTAAAGGGACAGAGCAGAGAGGGTTTACCACTCATTTTAATGCATTGCAGAGATCATGCATTTAGAAATGTCTAAGGTAAATATGCTGCTATGCAGCATTATAGATTTAATCCAACCATCATAACCAATACAACCCACTGTAGTGATTATGTTGTGCAGAGTACCCTGGCCCCATTTCCCAGTAATGGGGCAAACCGTTTTCCAACAGGATCAGCATATATTCCTGACACTATAGTATATTTGTGGCTGTTTAGGCCTCCCTTAGATTGCTCTGAAAAGGTGATCTTGCTCACCTTTTTCCCATGCTGCACAAGTGCGCATCAATCTTAATGATCTCAGCTGATTCAATGCTTTCCCATAAGAAAGCATTGGGCATCTATTACACATGAAAAGGCAGCTTTTTACACTGAAATGCCTGCAGGGACATGCTATAGACACCAGAATCACTACATTAATCTGTAGTTGTTCTATACTATAGTGTCCCTTTAAATTTCCAAATTCTAATCGCATGGTTTCTTACAACCAATGTCATTTTTTTCTCTCTCCACTTTGTCCCCCCTCCCATTGCTTTCTCCCTAGTTTGTTTTTTCTTTTTTCTTCCACCTTCTGCTGATTTTTTTTATTATGTTATGTTATTCCTTTCTTCTTAAGATATGTTAAAGGACCACTATAGGTACCCAGACCACTTCAGCTTAATGAAGTGGTCTGGGTGACAGGTCCAACTAGGATTAACCCTTTTTTCAATAAACATAGCAGTTTCAGAGAAACCGCTATGTTTATAATAGGGTTAATCCAGCCTCTAGTGGCTGTCTCATTGTCAGCCGCTAGAGGCGCTTCCGCGCTTCTCACTGTGAAAATCACAGTGAGAAGACGCCAGCGTCCATAGGAAAGCATTGAGAATGCTTTCCTATGAACTGGCTGAATGCGCGCGCGGTTCCTGCCTGGCATGCGCATTCAGCCGATGACGATGAGAAGGAGGAGGAGAGTCCCCCGCCTGGCGCTGGAAAAAGAGGTAAATTTAACCCCTTCCACCCCGTAGAGCCCGGCGGGAGGGGGGCCCTGAGGGTGGGGGACCTAGAGACCCTATAGAGCCAGGAAAACGAGTATGTTTTCCTGGCATTATAGTGGTCCTTTGAGGTTTTGGACAGATAATACTGGGACTGGGCTTTTGGTGCAAGGAATCAAACTACTCAAAAATGGATTGTCAGAAAACAGAGGGGTTGCCCCAAAAGAAGTCTTGTGCTGTAGTGATTACAATACACTGTAGTGGTTATGGTGCTTGAATTGCCCCTTTAAGATGTTGATGTACAGTTAGAGGGTAGACTATCAGCTGTCTGAAAGGGAGATATAACATTTCATAGTTAATCATATCTGAACATATGGTGATTTGTTGCAGATTCGGAATCATAATGGAAGAAGAAAGTATATGTAAAGAGATTTCCAATGTGCTTCAACTAAATGTGGGAGGCTGTATTTTCACCGCCAGACGGGAATCTCTCTGTCGCTTCAAAGATTCAATGCTGGCTTCAATGTTTAGTGGTCGATTTCCTCTAAAACTTGATGAGTCTGGTAAGTATTTCTTTCTCCTATGTAGTATCCATAATAACTACCAGAAGCATAATTCAAACATTCAACTAATTACACACCACATATTCATCAATTACCCCTGGGAATAAGATTCTCTTTTCTATTTTAGAAAAGCAGATCATTGCCAAGAATGTATTAAGTTTTAAATTATTAAATTAAATTAAATTAATGGCTATTATTTGTTTAATTAAACATTGACTGCAGTGTATGTTTTGTAGTGCTGTAGAGTTGGAGGTGGAAGCAATTTTGAATTACTGCAGTCTGTAAAAAATGTACCAACTCCGACTAAATCTAAGTTGAACCAATGTATAAGTCAACCTCAAAAAATGAGAGGTGTAATATAGGTTTAAGCCTATATTAGGACTATATTTAGGCCTGTATGAGGACTTATATTAGGATTTTGACCTAGGCTAAGCAACAGAATCGGAAGTCCTATTTCATGTATAATTAAAACTGTTGTTTTATTTACTATATCCTGTGATGAGATTATTTTAAACGTAAACAAACAAAACAGCATGTAGTTTACTTTTGTTGCCAATAGGTGGCATCTGCGGATCTCTCCAGCTAGTCAACTGTGTTTACATATACTGCAAGTGGTAACATCTTTTATTTCTCAAACAATGGGTGTGTAAAATGTACATAAGGACTTCTAAGCATACTCAATCAAGTGATAACCGTGATGGTAAGCACTACAGAAATTCTGTTTCTCTAGAAAAGTTATAAAAGAGGTTGGAAGTGATAAATAGGCATGAGAAGGGTGAAAGCATTGTCTGTATCAATAAATAATTAGGTTGAGGCCTTATTTTCGACTTGGCCATGTATTAACAGTTTTATGTTCAACATATTATCCGACCTCTAGTTTTACATGTCAGCATATACAGTAAATTGTAATACAGTAACTATATTTCTCTTTAGATAAGTTATCAAGTCATACCTCCCAACTCAGGATTCCTGAGAATTGGGACGCGGGAGAGGGGGAGGTAAAGAGGGTGGGCCAGTGATGCAGTTAATGGCAGGTCAGCCTGATGTTAAATTGAGGCCTAAATTAGGGAAGTGCATAAAAAAATTGTTCATGCATCCCAGCATGCTGTCCATTGTATCTAAAGTAAAACTTCAGACATACTGTTCTCATGTATCATAATCATGGTTACTGGAAACTGACCTTTATTAGATTTCTTTAACCCCTTAAGGACACATGACGTGTGACATGTCATGATTCCCTTTTATTCCAGAAGTTTGGTCCTTAAGGGGTTAAAGAGACCCTATTTGGACTAAATTAAATATTAGGTGATACTCTCAACCAGTGAATTCCTGTCCAAATGTGGACAAGATTGATAAATCTAAGACAGAAGTGGTATTTCCACTTTAGTAAGAACCCAAGGCACCAAGGTATCTGTTAAACCATTTGAAAATGTTAGATTGTTAACAGTGAGGCAGCACCAGGGACTCCTGCTACAATAACCTCTATATCCCTCTGTCGATATTATGGTGTTTAGAGTGCCCCATTAACAACTGTAGCATGTCTTTTCACACCACAGTTGACTAAGCAAAGTCACTTCTTGTCTTACTATCATAAAAACTTTACCTTTTACTTTGCAATTAGTTTACCCTTTACCTAGTGTGATAAAACATTTTGGCCAATACAGTGATTTATATAAATAGGCACATTTCTTGTGAGCTTCATTTGGTAAAGGTCAGTGATTTATTTTAATCCAACATATATTGGGAGACTCACAGGAGTAAGCATAGGACAAATATGAACCACCTTACACATTTCTTGCCCTACAGCAATTCCTTAAAGAACAACTGTCTGCTATAAAGCATTGAAGTTGTACTCCTTGAATATATTACGGTGCACAGAGGTCTCCTGTATCTGTATAACTTGTAAACATTGTAGGAGGATTTTTTGGAGAATGTTATACTTTCATCTCTGTCCATACAATATATTTTTAAGAGGTGCACACACCACGTACCTACCTCCATTCACAAATTGTGAACGGGGTTGTCAGTAAACTGTTAGCTTATTCGGCAGTTCTGTGTATTTATTTAGAGTTATTGCTGCTGCTTACTCATAAACCATGACATTTTTTTGACATTAATCTTTTTTGTACTCCTAGGTGCTTGCCTTATTGATCGAGATGGGATGCTTTTTAAATACATTCTAGATTACCTTCACGGGGAAGTAAGGATTCCAAAAGATGAGCAAACGCGAATTGCTCTGCATGAGGAGGCTGATTACTTTGGAATTCCATACCCTTACAATTTGACTGATCACTTGGCAAACGAGATGGAGACATATTCTTTAAATACAAATATAGAACTTAAAAAGGTCCTGGAAATATCTTGCTTTTCTTCACCTTGTATACTACATATATTGTACTGTGTTTTATCAAGGCTCACATTCTCAACTTTTAAACTACTAGCCAGGCCCAAACGTTACTTGCCATTGCATATCTCCTCCAATGCAATGGTTGGGAATGGATAGGGTAGCAGCATGGTCAGCTATATTGTGTCTAAATGATTCATTCAACATTTGACAATCCTTAACGTGTGGGGATTCTGTGGACATAGTGTGCAGTCTTTACCAGTATCCTAGGAAAGTGAAAATATATAAAAAATTTAAATAACTATCTATATAATGGCAATACATCTTGCTAGGATAATATGTTGAGATTGTGTAGTACATGATTGAGAAGTGAATCACAGTGATGTTTTGGGGGGCAATATATTCCACTTGCCCGCTCGATCCTGTCCCATCTCACCTCATCAGATCTCTCTCCCCTTGTCTTGTGCCTACCCTAACACACATCTTTAACTGCTCTCTCTCTTCTGGCACTGTTCCTGCTGACCTTAAACATGCCACTGTAATACCTATCCTGAAAAAACCATCTCTTGACCCATCCTCCCCTTCTAACTATCGTCCCATATCCCTGCTCCCTTTCTCATCAAAGCTTTTGGAAAGGCTTGTCTTTACCCGTGTGTCCCGCTTCCTTAATTCCAACTCTCTCCTTGACCCTCTTCAGTCTGGCTTCCGCCCTCTCCACTCTACTGAGACTGCTCTTATCAAAGTGACTAATGACCTAATCTCCGCTAAATCCAAAGGTCATTACTCCATATTAATTCTCCTTGACCTCTCTGCTGCCTTTGACACCATTGATCATGCTCTCCTCCTTCAAACTCTTCAATCGCTCGGTCTCTGTGACTCGGTCCTCTCTTGGTTTTCCTCCTATCTCTCCCAACGCTCATTCAGTGTCTCCTTTTCCAAGGATACCTCCTCCACTCGTCCTGTCTCGGTTGGAGTTCCCCAAGGGTCTGTCCTTGGTCCCCTTCTATTTTCTCTTTATACCGCCTCTCTTGGTAAACTGATTGCCTCTTTTGGATTCCACTACCACCTGTACGCTGATGACACTCAGATATACCTCTCCTCCCCGGACCTCTCCCCTGCTGTCCTGCAACGTGTCACTGCTTGCCTTTCTTCCATCTCTGACTGGATGTCTTCACGCTTTCTGAAACTTAACCTCTCTAAAACTGAACTCCTTGTCTTTCCTCCTCCTAATACTGATCCTCCTCTCTCGCTCTCCCTTCAAGTCAGTGATATCCACATAAGTCCATCCCTGCAAGCGCGCTGTCTTGGCGTCATACTTGACTCTGGTCTCACCTTTGAGTCTCACATCCAGTTTGTTGCCAAGTCCTGTAGGTTCCAACTCAAAAACATAGCCCGCATTCGCCCCTTTCTTACGCAAGATGCTACCAAGGAGCTTGTCCATGCTCTAGTAATTTCCCGCATGGATTACTGTAACCCTCTCCTGATTGGTCTCCCCAAAAGCCGTATTGCCCCGCTACAGTCTGTAATGAATGCTGCAGCTAGACTGATTTTCCTCTCTAGTCGGTCCTCTCACACCTCACCCCTCTGCCGGTCCTTACATTGGCTCCCTGTATGCTATAGGAGTCAATTCAAAGTGCTAACCCATACATTTAAAGCACTGAACAGTTCTAGCCCCGCTTATATCTCTTCACTGATCCATAAATATGCCCCTCCACGTACCCTCCGCTCTGCCCGTGACCACCTCCTGACCGCTGCTCGCACCCGTACGGCCAACTCGCGCTTGCAGGACCTCTCGCGGGCGGCTCCTCTCCTATGGAATAGCTTGCCTACTGCCATCAGACTCTCCCCTAGTCTTCAATCATTTAAGAAGGGCCTTAAAACCCATCTCTTCAGGAAAGCTTATGGCCTCCCAGAGTAATCTCTACCTTACATACCTGCCTCCTGCTCTCTCCTATGGGACAGTGCTTTGCTCTCTCCTCCAGCTCTGCTCCACTCCTACTTGATATTTATTGTCCTAATGTTTCAAACACCCCACCTCCAATAGTCTGTAAGCTCGTTTGAGCAGGGTCCTCTTCAACCTATTGTTCCTGTAAGTTTTCTTGTAATTGTCCTATTTATTGTTACACCCCCCCTCTCAAAATATTGTAAAGCGCTACGGAATCCGTTGGCGCTATATAAATGGCAATAATAATAATAATAATAATTAATGTCACTGTCATTAATTATCTTTTTCTAGATGACCTGTGCATCTAAGAGAATGGAGGAACTTATTCTTATCCCCCCATAAATCTGTCACTTTATCTGAGAAGCATGCAGGCTGATTGTTACAGCCTTTGAATAACTCCCTGTGCTTTCCAGCATCTATGTCTGTGTTAGATTAAGTTTATTATGGTGACATTAAAAGAAAAAGCCAAAAGGTGAAATATATTTTATTTTGAATACATTTTGTGACAAAGAATACTGTCTTATTTTGTCTAATACAGTGTTATTTTTTGCCTAGGTTTTAATTGATTTCTGTGATACCTATGGCTTCATATGTACAAAACCTTCAGTGTGGGTGTTAAATTACTTACATACAAGTGGCTCCAGCTGTCAGAGTAAAGTGATTGGAGTTTACGCAACCAAGAAGGATGCACAAATGGCGACCGAGAAACAATTAGGAGAACGAATTAATCATAAAAATATGTACAAAAGGTAAGCATTTTTAATTGAATGTTTTGTTGGAAGAGTGTATGCTAAAATGACAGTAAAGGAAAAAAGACATTTAGTGGAGGTTTTTTTCCCTTTCTATTGGTAACTGTTTGGCAGTCGACCATCTGCTCTAATGTTAACTCTCATACACAATTTTGTGACCATAATGTCAAGCCCCTTATGGTTAACCTTTTTTTTAGTGCCAAAGGTATTTCCACAGCTTTGACAGTTAAAGGTTTCACTATAATAGACTGAATTTTATTAACAGGAAATTGAAAAAAAATTGATTAATGTAATATTCACCTCAACCAAAACAATCTGCAATTATTTTCTATACACAATAGTAGTATACAGTGTGTTAATATGTACAGACATCCACTGTATATCACAAACGGGTGGCTACCAGGCAATCTTGGCCTTGTATTTGTTTTATAACAGCCAAGTGGAATGATCCCTTGATTAGATCTAAAAGGTTTAAACTGTTTTTACAGGCTTTCAAGGGGCATTAATGGAGTATGGTCACTTCAGATGTAAAGGCATATTTTATTAGCTTACCAAAAGCTAATCATTTTGCTCTTTGAAAAAAAAAAACAAAAACGCATTTTTAAAAACTCTTTCCATTTACATCATATGCCATGCTTTGTTGGTACACATTGCCATCCAGTGAAAATATTTTTCTTCTTTTTTCTGTATGTTACTTGTATAAATTCAGAAGGGACTTGCATAGCTTCGGTTATGGGGTGGGCACTCAAGCCAATAAACTAGATTGTGGTTAAGGATGTTGTCTCTTCATTAGTGACCCAGGCAGCCTGAAGCATTAAGATGTCCTGCAAAAAATACAATGGCATTAAAGTGAAAAATATATAATGTTTTATCTTCCTTCCAAATGAAATCTATTTTCAATCTATAGCTATATTAAGGGAGCACACTGAGTACAATAACCACTACAGACTGAAGTGATTATAGTGCTAGAAATCTGAAGGCACCGTTTCCTGGTTCTATGTCAAACCTTGTTCTAGTAGCTTCACACAAACCGAGAGTCCCACATAGCTATAGCTCACTCATCCACTAAACAGCAACTTCAAAGCTCACAGATTATATTAGTATTTTTTAAAAACACCTAACCTAGGTAAAAATAATGGGGGTTTAGTTACAGTATATGATCATACATTGCATAAACCTGCCACAGTGAGTAAATGCGCTGGATCTTGTGTATTGTATGAATTAGCCCCAGCAGCACCCCATTTATGCATGTTCATGTCAGTGCAGCACCCTGCTTTCATATATATATTTGGGAATCTAGGTCAACTCCTTGGTTTTGCATCCCTCCCTGTCACAGGTGCCTCATACCATGGCTCTATTTAACCTTGTCAGTATGTATGTCTGTGTGTGTGTCAGTATGTGTGTATCTCTGTGTCTGTGCCAGTATATCTGTGTGTGTGTATCTGTGTGTTTGTGTGTGGGTATTTGTGTGTGTCTCAGTGTATGTATCTGTGTTTCTTTTTGTGTCAATGTGTATTTGTGTGTCAGTGTGTGCATTTGTGTATGTTTCTGTGTGTGTGTATTCTGTGTCAATGTGTATCTGAGCATCTGTGTGTGCATCAGTGTGTAACGTGTCTGTATCTAAGTGTCTGTGTGTATCGTTGTCAGTGGTATGTGTCTGTGTAACATGTGTCAGTAATTAAGTGTCAGTGTGTGTATCTGTGTGTCAGTGGTACGTGTCTGTGTATGTATGTGTATCAGTGTGTGGAAGTGTATACACTACATACAAATGCATACCTGCATTCAAACACCAACATTCACACACATACTCCATACAAAAACATGCTTACAATCAAACACACATTGTATATATATATATAATTATATATATATTGTATATATATATATAATTATTTCTATACACACTACACGTGCACGAACACACACTGCGCCCATTTTATACACACCGCATTATTGTGGGCAGATTTGAAGGTGAACCCTGAGTACTGACTTGGAGGCAGGCCCCCGGGGGCCCAGACCTTGAGCTGTATTAGGGGCCCCAAAATGTCTGATGGCAGCCCTGCACATGCCCATCGGGTGGCCACTGTGTGCAGCCGCATGGTGATATTGCTGCCACTGGTGCCCATTACCACTACAATGTGCACATGTCAATTACTTGTAGTGGTTATGATGATTAGAGTGTCCCTTACATTTTCCTGAAAAGCAATGTGAGCAAATGTAACAAAATTGACATTATGTTCCTTTTTTTTAATGTGTTTTTCTGCCAGGGAAGCTGGTGGTAACATACAATATATTCTGAGCTACTATAGTGTGTCTGAGCTGAAAAACATGATGGATGCTTTTGAGACATGGAAGGGAAGAGGTAAGCAAAATCCTTTGAACTTACCATAGCTATTTGGCTTCTACTACTGTTTTGTATAAACCCTTTTACAGGGTAATTCACTAAGGTCCACAAGGCACTCTACTGAATGGGGCAAAGCCATCCGGCTGCATATGGTGCTATTTAGACTGCAAAATTCAGACATTGATGAAATTCATTAATATCCGGATTTTGTAAATCAGGCCCCAAACGACTATGAATTTGGTCTGAATTTCAGCTGAACCAAAAGCTGCAAGACGACTGAAATCTGGGAAGAATAAATTCAATCTGATAAAAAAAAAAAAAATAATCTGAATTATTTGCCCACTGGCAGTGCTAGCAGCCACTAGGCAAATAGTGAAAAACCATAAGCACTACAAGGTTTAATTATTTGGCAACTGGCCAGCGCTTGCTTACTGCCTGCCACATTAAGCAAGTAAAAATACATAAAAATCATATGGTGTGGTCAATAGGTCCCCCTATATTACCATAATCGGGCTTAATGTAGCTGTAGTCCCCTCTCCTGGCCCCACCCATACTGGCTGGTGGGTGTCCTAATACGTATGACAATGGGAGGACCTATTGTCCCTTTCTTTGGTCCACACCAATGCTGGTGGGTGGGGACTCTGATATAAAGGAAAATTTGCTTCATACTTACCGTAATTTTCTTTTTCTGATCATTATTCATGGCAGCATTTACTCATGGGTTAGCTCCTCCCCTCACAGCAGAAAGGACAGGAAATAGAACTCTGAAACTGGTATAAATAGATCCTCCCCCTTCCCATCAGGCAGTCTTAGTAACTAGCTTCACAACTCCTGTAGTATATGGGTGGGAACGTAATGCTGCCATGAATAATGATCAGAAAAAGAAAATTACGGTAAGTATGAAGCAAATTTTCCTTTTTTCCTGACATTATTCATGGCAGCATTTACTCATGGGGAATACCCAAGCAGTATATATCGAGGGAGGGACAGAGTTCAAAAACAGCCAATAGCTATAAAACCATTATTGAGCTGCATAAACCTTAGAAGACTCTAAAAAAAGCCAAACAAGACATCAATAGGATGTTGTCATACATTCTGCTCAGACAAGTTAATTAACCTAGAGGCTGCAAGGTCAGCAACCTCCTGGCATTCAATATCTGAAATATCCTCAATAAATATAGTCAAATAGGAATTAAGGCCATGATAGCATAAGTTAGAGAAGAATAATGCCATTTTGATATAAAATTTAAAACCAAATTGATGACCTCATTAGATCAGAACCTTGACAAAAAGGCATAACAGAAGGTTGGATAGACACACCATGCTATTAAACATGGCGAGAATTACACTGAGAATCCTACAACTCTCTGGATGTAATTATTAATGACGATTCACACTGCTTCCTCTTGCCTTGTGAACTACTTACCTGTGGATACAGGAAATAAATCAATACCTGCCTGTCAGGAAGAGGCAGAGCCTAGTAGAGAAATAAGTGTTATTAAAACACTGCAATAATGAATATATACACATATATATTGCAAAAATCAGACTCACAACAATACCTCACACCGTGGATGAATTGATACAGTAATGCTCAGGCACAGGAGAGGTATAAACCAATGACATTACTAGGCAAGGGCAAGAAGAGTCATATACAGATTAGTTAAAGAAAGAAAAAAGGAGACATCGGTATGAACCGTAGAATTTGTGGAAACTCCTAAATTATAAGTAGGACAATCACGTCAGTACCTACATTCAAAGAAACATTGTAAATAGTACAGATTATACCAAACAGTATAATCAAATTTATTAGAGAACGTTGTGTAACATAAGTAGGAGATATGTAATCGGCAGGATACTAATGAGAAGGTGGTAACCAGAGGCACATGATCCATTGTGGCAACCGACACATAATAAGCAGGATAGTAGAAGATATTCAGTTATCCTTATGAGAACAAACAACCGCATACTTACTCTTACCTTATCTTCAGATAGCGAAGAAGTACTATGGCAGAGCTTATGGTGATAAGCAGTTTTTATTATTCTTACCTTATCTTCAGATAGCGAAGAAGTACTATGGCAGAGCTTATGGCGATAAGCAGTTTGTATTATCTGCAAGATATCGACACCAATACAAGTATATAATCCATAAGTATTAAATCAATGCAATGTTAGGAGTGACCATAACTTATACCGATCTAGGTACAGAGACCATGAAAAATATATCAGTCAAATGTTTATCAACAAGCTGCATTACATTATATTATGTAGGATGAATCAACCACTTAAAGCCACACCTCGGTTGCAAATTCCAGATATAGGGACCACTAGAAGAATCCCCATGAATATCAGAAGAGAGGACCGTAATGGAGTTACCTGTTAAGGGATTTCCTCTCTTGTTCTGAAAGCAGGTGAATTTTACTTGAAATAGTAAACCTGGTAGAATGGCCTGGGGACTAGAAAGACCTTCCAGTGTCACTTAAAATACTTGCAATACTAAGTATCGAAAACTTACCTGGATCATATGAGCATAAAAGAATACATTTAATTGCAGAAAGGAAATTATAATAATATTCCCTTTCACCACAAGGGAATCTTGTCAGAAATTTCTGAACATTAATTCCTTAAGAACCAAAAGCATGCCACCCCTGACATATCCTAAAGGGATTGCCAAACTCTCAGGTCCCCAAGGGATAAAAGAGAATACTGCATATAAAAAATTAGTACATTCTCCAAATTATAAAGATTATGCTTTAAGGAAAGGTACGCATTTCTAAAGAATGTTAAACCAATTCCAGAGAACTGAGTTAAAAACTTAATAAAAAGCAAAAACCAGACCAGAAGTAGTGAATTCTTCAGAGTAGAAGTTTGCAGAAAAATAAAATGATACTAAAGTTAAGACCAGGAGAGAAACAAGCCAATATGAAAAGCTTTTTAAATCAGGTAATAGCTTCAGAGTTACCTACTTATGAGAACGATTAATAGCCCAATTTGTGCTCCTGCAACCAGCATGATCTACTAAGCTGTGCATCAGTAACAGCATATATCTGAAGATAAAACACTGCCACCAAAACATTCCTTATCTTGATAAGAGAGGAGAGGATACTTGGCAATAGAAAAACTTCTCAGAAATGGTCTCATGTATAAATACATAGGAGTGCACACAAAAAAGGCCTTAATTTTGTTAAACAGTACCATTATCCATTTTGGAAATTCAGGTCTCCTTCTCTCCTGGGAGAGGCACTCAGACAGGTTCAGTAACACCTGCAATCCATCTGAAGTGGTAAAAATTGTTAATTGCTTATCCCGAAACACCTGTGGGAGAAGGAATCTAATACAAAGCCAAAAGCAGTATGTTTCCTTATCCACTTCATTTAAAAAAAAAACTGAAATAGAAAATCCACAGGAGGCAATAATTACTTACACAGTATAACAGTGCATTTGTATTTGCTAAAATTAGGCAGTGCTACATTTCAGCACAAAACCCAGACCTTAGATCATTTGTATACATTAAATCTATCAATGCCGTGTATAAATTAGGGTTATCTAATACTACCAACCTGCATACAGATTATGTGAATCACACACATTGTGAATGTTTCTAACAGCACCTTATACACAGATATATCAGTTTCATATACTGAGCCTGTTCAAATAGTAATAGCCTACCTCTGCTATATACAGTGACACTATGCCTGTACACATATTAAGATTATATGAGTGAGATAAATTGAGGCTGTTTTCAACAGAACTTCATGCACATATTACACCACTCATATATACTGAGGTTGTGACTAATAACCCACACAAAAAAAACCCCTGTATTAGATTGGACTCATAGAGGATGTGTCTTATATCATTCACATATATTGTGTTTCCACTAATACATCAAGCATATAGTGAACAGATCCACTGAAGCAATGTCCACACCAACTTCCATATAGAGCATGTTGAGACATATACTGAGGCTATGTTTTCAGAGCAAATAAAGAACACAAACTGAGCCGAGACTTCTGATCATCTCATACGTAGACAATATAGTGGATACATATACTGAGGCTGTGTCCCCATAGTAACTCATACACAGAGCCTATAGTGTGTACATATATTGAGGCTGTGTCCTCATAGTAACTCATACACAGAGCATAAAGCGCATACATAAACTGAGGCTGTGTCTCCATAGTAACTCATACATATGGCCTATAGTGGACACATATACTGAGGCCATGTCCTCATAGTAATTCATACACAGAGCATATAGTGCATACATAAACGGAGGCTGTGTCTCCATAGTAACTCATATATATATCATATAGTGGATACCTATACCGAGGCTGTGTCCTCACAGTAACTCACACATAGAGCATATAGTGGGTACATATACTGAGGTAGCGTCCTCATTGTAACTCATACATAGAGCCTATAATGGATACATATACTGAGGCTGTTTCCATAGAAACTCACACATAGAGCATATAGTGGACACATATACTGAGGCTGTGTCTCAATAGAAACTCATACATATATATATATTTCATATATAGGATACTTATACTGAGGTGGTGTACTCACAGTAACTCTTATATAGACCACATAGCGGATACATATACTGAGGCCGTATCCTCCTAGTAACTCCTACATAGAGCATATAGTGGATACATATACTGAGGCCGTGTCCTTATAGTAACTCATACCTAGAGCATTTACTGGACACACTCTGTTCATATGTTAGAGCATAAAGTGAAAACACACCGATGCTGTACCACCACCAGATCATGTATGGATACTGAGGCCCCGTGGTCTCATATGCAGTATATTCCTCCACTCTCTGGAAAAGCCTGCTTATTTGTGATAATGCACAGATAACAGCAATCAATGCCACATATCTTGATAGGAACAAGTGTGTGTGTGGACTTTAAAAACATATACATGTGAGTACTTCAGTCACCCAGGGAAGTTCTCTTACCTTGGATATTTCTTCAGGACTGCGAAATTCCAGAAGACTTTATACAGCCAGGATATCCATTATTAGCACTCTTTTTCACAATGCCTTATTGCATCATAAGCACTCTTTTGCACAATGCCTCCTTGCATTATCAGCACTCTTTTGCACCAAGCATCCTTTCATGTATAACTTACCTAAATGCTCACCACACAAACCTCCTAAATGTGACCTATTTGTTAGAAGGAAGCCTAATGTAAGCCGCTGGGAGGGACTGAAAGAACAGAGACCCAGGTGCCTATACTAGCTTTAATCTAAATTACTAATGCACTTACCTGAACAGCTGCAGGCCTGTGTTTCAATGGCAAAATGGGGATTTGAACAACTGACAGCCTAAACTGTTTAAACTATAGGCTTCCATCTGTACCCCATATGCCGTCCATCATCACCAGTGGGAGGAGGTTTAACCAACCCCATACAAGGTGGAACACCAAGAATAGGTATACCCAGGTAGTCACCTTATGGAAGTGCTGTTTACTGGGTCTTCAAGGATAAAGGCTTAGACTCAGCTGGGCCTCATGTATGCAGTGGACCGCTGTCATCCCCTCAGGGAGAGAGATAGGTCAGACTCCTGATTGCTGAAGGAGGTACCCAGGCTGGCAACTGTTACAGATGTGCTGTTTGCTGGGTCTTCAGGGATAAGAGGCTGAACCCTGGCCTGGCTTCATGTAGGCAATATATCACATTCATCCCCTGAGTGGGTACCCAAGCTGGGCTGTTGCTGGGTCTTCAGGGATAAGAGGCTGAACCCTGGCATGCAGTGGACCATTTTCATCCCTTAAGGGAGAGGTTGGGTCCGACCCCCGGTCACTAAAGGGGGTACCCAGGTTTGCAGTATTAACAATAGTGCGTTGCTGGGTCTTCAGGGCTTAGAGGCTGAACCCCGGCATGGCTACAAAAATATTGCCTGGTGAGCATAAAAGAAAATCTAGGCCTGCATAAGCAGACTCCTTCCAAACTGCTGTGAAGGACAGGAAAAAAGACTGCCTGATGGGAAGGGGGAGGATCTATTTATACCAGTTTCAGAGTTCTATTTCCTGTCCTTTCTGCTGTGAGGGGAGGAGCTAACCCATGAGTAAATGCTGCCATGAATAATGTCAGGAAAATATATATATATATATATATATATATATATATATATATATATATATATATATATATATATATAAAATTGGATGGGACGTATTGTTCCCACCCATGCTGGCGGGTGGGGGCCCTAATTAATTATAAAATAGGGGGTGGACATGCCATTGTCCACCCACCAAATAGTAGTGGGTTTACCTCTGGGTGGCTAGGGTTCCCCAATCCATTGATAAATAAATTTTTATATATATATATATATATATATATATATATATATATATATATATATATATATATATATATATATATATAAAATCGAAAATGTGGAATGTTGGTTAAGTGAAGATATATCAGTCCTGCTTTGCTAAATAGCAGTCTGAGGTTTTTCGGTTAAATGTCCCAGGGAGAAATGTTGATTTTGCACGATAAATTGCTGGTAATCTGCAAACCGCGGTAAGGGTCCCTGGGGCAGAGTCAGTGCTCCCAACAGCACTAGTTGCTAAGTTACAGCCAGGCCAGAACCTGCATTTGACTTAAGAGTTCCACAGATGTGACTAATTGAAACTAACCTGTAGCTGGTCAATTAACAGGCAGTCTTATAAAAGAAGGGATGAGTCTGCTGCATAGTAAGGGGAAAAAAAGCCAGCTAGGAGAGCTGAAGGACAGAGGAATGGTGTTTCTTGCAAGTGTAATTTTTTTTTTTGTTATTGAAAATTTGTAAGTGGGAAAGCCAACCAATTACAGGCAGTTATTTATTTGTTTAGTAAGTGTTCAAGTAAGAGCAAGGACTTTTTATTTGTTTAATTTTATTTAAAACACCTGTTTATTTTCATCAAATAAATCTGGAAAACTGAGCTAGATGTGTCTTGGACTTTGATTACCTTAGAAGGCTATGGTTACCATAAGATCTGTGACAAAATCCTACCTGGAAAATAAGTAGTTTGTCACAATATATATATATATATATATATATATATATATATATATATATATATATAACAAAGAACTTGGAAATGAATATATGTTCTGTACAGTACCCTGGTGCAATCTGCGTTGTATAAATAATCTGAAAAATTGGGGCGCACTCAAAGGATTAACAATCGATGGAATCATTTAATCAATTAATTAAAATACACAAATAAGCAGTGTCACAATCAACGTTTTGACCCCTAAGGGTCTTTCTTGTGATCTTAAAATAATCTGCAGAGAAATCACCTTCAGCCATCTGAAGATCGATCTTATGGCTAGAAGATACAACAGGAAGTTCATGAGATTTGCTTCACCCAAATCCATATCTGCTAGATAGCCTCTCAGTCCCTTGGGACTTTTATCTTGCCTATGTGTTTTCCCCTATAGCTGTCATACACAGGGTTCTGCAAAGGATAAGAACAGACCATGCAATGATAATCACAGTCATGCCCACAGTCATGATGTTGGAACTACTGGAAGTCTCTCAAAGAAATCATTCAAAAATTCCTCAGAAAACATTATGAAGAACAGAGATGTCTCTCAGATTGCTCTGAAGCTGTTCAAAGTGACCGTTTGGGAGCTGCAAGGTTTATACTGTTAGCCCAAGGGCTTAGCATAGAAGTCATTGATATTTTGGTTCAGTCTAATATAAAGTCTACCTGGAAGATACACTCCAGAATTTGGAGAACTTGTTCTTCATGGTGCAAGAGAAACAATGCCTCAAATGCCTCCAATCCTCAAGTACTGGCCTTTCTTCAAGAACGCTTCACAAAAGGCCAAAGTTATCTCTTCTTAAAGTGAGGCCAGGCCTCTACCATTCTCCAATCCGGCACGCAGTTCCAGGCTGCTGAGTGGAATGTCTCAGCTGCAAAAGATGACTCCTGAGGGCTCCAGTACAGAGAGAGCCCCTTTAGTCCTTGGATGCCTTGTCACCTGTCTGATCTCCCTTCCAAAAAGCGCCATGTTTGGTGGTCCTAGGGCCAAATGCAACCCAGGTTTTTACTTTTGCTGGACTGCCGTAATTCTGCGATCCGACCTATAGTACCATGCAATTACTGGGTAGGACCCTGTAGGGCACACTGTGCCTGTGAGAACCTTTAACTAGTTCCTGATGGTTGGTTTGGTTTATCACGCCAGAATGCTCAGTGGGGGAGGGATTACCACAGTGATTTTAGTCCTTTTTGGAGAAGGTGGTGCTAGGGAGTCCTGCACCAGTCCACAGTGTCCAAGTGGTCCATCACAACTGGTGTTGAGCTTGAAGGCAAGATAAATTGATTTGTCTTTTCAGGAAGAGTGTAGGGAGGCAGCGTTATTGATAGCTGGGAGGAGGGTAATAGAAGCCTGTTATGCTCCATAGAACAAAACAGAACAATGCAAGACCACAATCATTAAAATTAGAGAATTAGTTCAGCACTCTTATCAATGAGCGCTGTCCTGCATCAGCTGTGTTTTGCTCTGGAGCCATCTGGTTTCTGCTGCTGGAGACGACCTGAAGCAGTGTGGGTACCCTGGTAAGTTGTCAAGCTGTGTTACAACACTTTGGTATGTTACAAAGAGATGGGCAACCAAGGTACACATGGCACAATAACCTCTGCATCGGACTGCCATGGTTATGGTGCCTGGAGTGTTCTTTTAAAGTCTTAATAATAATAATCATCCCACAATATGCAGAAATAATTTGTGCTCTTCTTTTATGTTTAAAGGAACACAGTGCTTATCAAACTGAAAACCCGATCCTCCATTCGCAGCCCGAACATGTTAAGATAAGATTCATGAAGATAGAAATAACATTATCAATTATAATATTGCATGTGTTTGCCCCATGACACCATGATAGATTAATTATACCAAATGAACCAACAAATGCGCAGTTATGCAGTTTGCATTTTGTTCAATCCACGTGCTATGTGGCTATCTCTCTGGGAACAAATGGTTAAATCTTTCCAATTAGAATAAACATATCAATCTACTACAATATTTTGTACACTGATCAGCCACAACATTAAAACAACCTGCCTAATCTCGTATAGGTCCCTCTTGTGCTGCCAAAATAGGTCTGATGAGTCGAGTCATGGAATCCACAAGACATGTTAATGTATCCTTTGGTATCTGGCACCAAGAGATTAGGAGCAGATCCTTTAAGTTTCGCAAGTTGTAAGGTGGGAAATCCATGAATTGGATTTCTGTGTTCCCACAGATGCTGAATCGGATTGAGATAAGGGAAATTTGGAAGCCAAGGCAATTTGATGGTACGTGTCAAAGAATGCCAGAACCCAAGGTTTCCCAGTAGAATATTGCCCAGAGCTTAGCACTGCCTTCTTCCCATCGTGGATCCTGCTGCCATCTCTACCCAGGTAAATGACGCACACCTACTCTGCCGTCTACATGGTGTAAACGAAAATGTGATTCATCATACCAGGCAACCTTCTTCCGTTGCTCTATAGTCCAGGTCTGATGCTCACGTCCCCATAGAAGGCACTTGGTCATCATGGGCACTTTAACCTGTCTCCGGCTACGCTGCCTTACACACAGCAAACTGCGATGCACTGTGTGTTCTGACACCTTTTTATCATGGCCAGCATACAGTTCAGCAATTTCAGCTACAGTAGCTCTTTTGTTTGACTGGACCAAACGGACTAGCCTTCGCTCTGCAAGTGCATCAACATGCCTTGGGTTCCCATGACCCCTGACATTGGTTCACCGGTTGTCCTTGCTTGCACCATTTTTGGTAGGAACTAACAACTGCACACCGGGAAGACCCCATAAGACCTGCCATTGTTCTGACCTAGTTGTCTAGCCATCACTCTTTGTCCTGTGTAAAAGTCACTCAGATATTTTTCGCTTGCCTATTTTTCCTGCTTCCAACAGATTAAATTCAAGAAATGACTGTTCACTTGCTATCTAATACATCCCACCCATTGACAGGTGCCATTGTAATAATATTATATTGAATTCTTCTGTCAGTGGTTTTAATTTTGTGGCAGATCATATTTATAATGGTGATTTAGGCACCCTCTGCACCAAAGAACTTAGTCTATTGCTTTGTGGAACATGAAGTGTACTGAGATTTATTTGTGTGTGGGTGGGACAATGACAACATTAAACAAAAAGTTCTAGAGTTTTTAGTTAGCTGCCTGTCATTTTAAAGAAACCCCCCAAGCAGCATAATCATTATAGCGTGCTATAGAGGTTATAGTACCAGGAGTGCCGTGGCACTCACCCATTGTAAGTAGTCAAACTGTTTAGTAATGCTTCCATTTCTTATCTGAGGTGTGCCAGATCCCACTCTCTACCTCTTCTCAGCAGGAAAAAACAGCTAGAAGCTCTTGTTAGGAGCTACTGTTAGATCTCCTGAGCTTGGCCAAGTAGTGCAGGGCTAGCTCATTGGCTGAGCTTGTCAGCTGATCACTCTTAGCCAATGGGCTATGCTTTGTACTGACAGGAGGAGGCAGAAAATGGCACCCAGTGGACCCCAGATAAAAAGTCAAACTGTTTATACTTGCATTGTGGGGGTGCCAGGGAACTCCTGGCACCATGACCACTAAATTAGGACAGCCACTAGAGGAAGATTTACATTGCAGTTTTTTTTTTTAAAAAAGGACAGGAACATTGCACCAAGACCACTTCATGGAGATGATGTGGCTTGAATTTCTTTAGTGATCATTACATGCAGTCATGGGAAAAAAAAAGTACACCCTCTTTGAATTCTATTATTTTACATATCAGGACATAATAACAAGTATCTGTTCCTTAGTAGGTCTTAAAAATAAGTTTATACAACTGCAGATGAACAACAACACATGACATATTACACAGTGTCATGATTTATTTAACAAAAATAAAGCCAAAATCAAAACAGAGAAGTTCATGGGGAGTTCAGAGGACATCAGTACTGACATCAGCAGAGGGATAACCCAGCTAACACAGTACAGAGAGCTCTGTGATATCTATCATGCTTCAGCTTCTGAAACTGTGGTCACTGAGGAGGGACATGACCAGGATCTTTTCAAATCCCTGGGGTCTCCCTCATCACAGGGATAAACTGATTTAAAGAGCCATTATGTGCAGCGCTCACTTTGAGCACCGTACATAGCAGACTGTCAGTCTGTCAACTGACAGAGGGAACCATTAGGTCTCAAAAGATACCTGGGGCTCCCTGTTTCAAGCTGGGTGTAGACTCAGAATTACCATAGATAAAGGAGTGCTCAGCCACAGAATGTAAATAACTTTAAAGGGCTATTTAAGGGCTGCATATAGCTCATCTGTCAGTCTGGGGCCACTAATGGTTCCAGCATGGATTTAACCCTGCTGGTACTTTTAATGCATAGCGGTCTTTGCCGTGGGTTAAAGCACTGCATTGCATGAGGGCATAGACTGTCATGTGGTCCTTAAGGGGTTAAACACTTAAGTTTTTTAAAAAGTGTAAGTATTTTTTTTTTTCAATGTGCTAGTTTAACATATTACTATTTCAGTGAAACTTGACTGTTAAAGCTTTCTCCATATGTCTAAAATGTTTTTATTACCCTAAAAGAATATGTTGTAGGATGACTTAAAAGATAGTGCTTTGTAATCTGCAGGTTTCAGTTACTGGCGCGTTCCTCAGGAACTAATCGAATGTTGGACCCTTGAAGAACGTCCTATAGAAGGAAGTGAGCAGAATATGTCTCCAGTAAACAGAAGGTACAGCACATTAAACATCATGTTATGGATGTAACACAAAGAAGAGATTTGTCTGTGGTGGAAAGAAACATTATGGGTGGTACAAATGTTATATAAATGAATATATATCTATATAGGTATATTCATAATGAGAGCACTAGTACTGTATTTAGATATAAAGTACTGTATTTGGATATAAAGCACAAGTTGTTACTCATCCTAATTTTTAGTTAGCACACTCTCTTTTCGCCTTGTTTCTCTATCCCACCTAGTTTTCTGTAATGCCTCATTAAACCGCATGCTATGATGCACTGGATGTTGTACCCTCTTTTCCAAGTACTACTGAAGTAAAATTGTGTTTTTGTAGTAAGAGTGCATTTGCATAAATCATTGGTTCTCATATTCTTTTTTCATACTTAAAGTTCACCTGTTATGCTACACATATCTTATTGTAAAGTATATTATAGTTCTCCTGCTATTTGGCACGGCAAATACAGCACATGCACTTACTCCTCTAGCCAGCACTTCTTGCAGTGGCTACTGGAGGATAGAAATGGAGAGTCTGATGTCACTCCATTCAGATGTCTATGTGCTGGCAATGGATGTCACTTCATTATGTGGAAGGATTGATTTGCTTGTCCTCCATCTGGGCCAATCCTGAGAGCGCACAAGCTGGACCTCGGTGGGACTGGAGGTAGTTGTTACAGTAATGTAACACCCACAGAGTTGCAGACGAGACCGATTGATCCATGATTAGTAGGATACATTTCTTTGAATGGTCAGTTGAATATATATAATTAGTCTCTATGGTACATTATACATTCAAGGATAACAATTTCCACTAGCCACTGGCAGATGAAAATGTAGCACTGGAGAGTAGAAATTCACTTCTGGTATATGTGCCATGGACTATACTGGCGTGCAGTGGGTAGTAAATATTAAAGCCTGGCTAGTAGCACAGGACGTGACATTTTAAGCCCTAATACATTCATTGACTTTGAGATGTTGGGCCCTTCGTGATGACATTGTGGATTCTATTGAAGGTTCATACCCTAGGTATTTGCTTCAAAACTCTTCCAATCACATCCAGAATGTGCATTCAAAATAGGGACATTTAGAGGTAAGTATTTTTTTTTCTTCCTACAGTTATATTTGTGTCGCTATGCAATTTCTATTTACATAGCAATCAACTATACAAATATTCAGACATGCATTTAAATATTTCATAATAACTGCATTACTTTCCTACATTTTGCTCAGATCAGAATCCACATAACATCTCAATAAAATGTCACTATAAGTAGATGTATTTTAATAGGGATGTGTGGAATATTAATATATTCACCTATAGATTTATTTTAACCACTGTGCCTTGCTTTCTAGGAGATTAATAGACTACACACAAGAGAATGAGGACCAGACTGCAACATCCAAAACTGGTCCAAAACCTATTCGATTTTCAGGCCCATCTACAAATACTAATATTAGAATCAAGAGCTCTGTGTCATTGAAACCTTGTGCCCAAAGAACCAATTCAGAGGCTTCCAATGATGTTAGGCTAAAAAGACCAGTAATTGATGGGTCACAGCAGAAAAGGACTGACCTGAAAATTCAACGGATTAGTATTGATCCTGTGTCATCAAATAGAAATGAAAGCCAACGCAATACTCTGTCAATTGTTGACAAAGGAACCAAACTTAAAGGCAATGTCTCTTCTCCAGAACAGACCAAATCAAGGCGCATAATACGACTTAAGAGGCCATCTCTTAGCTCAACATCTGTGTCAGAAAATGAATCCACAATATTGGAGGAATTACAGGTATCAACATCACCACCAGTAACTGATTCGTCCTGAAAAGAGAAATTTTTGTATTTTCTACAGTACTACATTTATTAAAACATTTGCTTAATAAATATACGTAACTGGTTTATAAAACTGATTGTGTGGATTTTTTTCAAAAATATTTTTTTTTACAGAACTTTACAACATAACAAAATAAATGTACAGGGTTATTCACTAAAGTGAGATTTCAAATTTAAGGTCAAAATAGCAGCAGCTGACTAAAATGAATAGCCTGGAGTCTGAACTGGACTGAGTTATAAATAAGAGATTTGTAATGGTCTGTGCAAGATGAATAGTTTGGAAAAGAGTCAATTTCTTCTGTCTATGCCAAAATTTGGCATGAGTTGAGAACATAATGTTCAGAAATCAAGGTCATTTATTTATTTGCTTCAGGTTTACGCATTTTACAATTAGTATAAAGCAAGGTTATCTAGAGTGAAGACCTGGCACATTTACAGCATATTTCAGCCTGACATCCTCTTAAATTATTAGGCACATTCTCCACTTAAAGGTGCTCCATTAGAAAATAATTTTATAACATGACAGGAGGCTTCCTATTTTGCATTAACTCTCTTTACTAAACTCCACAGCAGTAAAGAAAAAACGTAAAGAGTAACAAATAAATCACTGAGCAGCATAGTATATAAGGGTTATGCTGCCTGTACACTTCCTCTTTCTTTACTGCTCCATCGCAGACAGGTCAGAATATTTGCTCCCCTGGAGCTTTACACATTTATTGTCATTACTTGTTTGTTTCTTTCTATTTCCATATCTTATTATCATTGTTTAGCCCTTTTATTTCTATTTACTTATTCTGTATTAGGGCTGTGGGACTAGGGGCTCTCTGTGGGGTTTTTTCTGCCCCTCTATGCCTTCTGGGACCCTCCCTTGGCTTCCCCTTGGTCTCCCCAGGTTCCCCCACTGCCCCCCTACCCTGGAGTGCCCTCCTGGGCTCCCTCCTTGCGGCCGGTTTCGTTCGCGCCGGCCCGCTTCCGCCCGTGGCCGGCCTCAAAATTTAGTCCCCGGCTTGCGGCCTACCTCGCGGCCGCCATTTTGGATCGCGGACATCGCGTGTTTCTCGCGGCCATCTTAGTTTTGCCTCGTGCATCTCATTAGGGGACTCAGTGTGGCTGTGCTAGCTTGCTGTTACCTCTAAAGTTGCTGTTTTTCACACCTTTTGTGTCTGACACCCCTGTGAATGAAGGATTACCTGCTCAAGCACTCCATCTGCTGCTATCAATCTGCTACTCAGTCTCTGTGCCTCATCTGCTTCTATCAAGCTATCCTGTGGCTGGGTCAGTCAGGTCAGTGCTGCTGCCTGTTTATTATTATTGTGACCTGTACTTAAGGGTCCCAACCCTGTGCAACCGGGGTGAGCCCCCACTATAAATACGCTGCTTACTGGGAGACTAGCTGTTGCAGTTCTCTCTAACTGGGTGAGCCCCAGTTTATAAGGTCACTACAATACCCTGCTGGGGTTATTCTGGGCTTGTTCCCACCATACTTCCAAATCTGACCCTACGCCTACCATCAAGACCTGGGTGCCCGTTTATTGCTGTGCCTTTCAGTGACCTATAGGCCTACCCTGACATGGAAGATTCCCAGAACGTCCCTGTGGACTTCCAGGCCATGATTAACGCAGCTGTCGCTGCCTCTGTGGAGAAGGCACTCTCCAAGGCCCGAGCTTCGGCTCCTGACGTACCAAAACGCATACGTCCACGCCACGAGTCGGATTCTGAATTGTCCGACCATCAGGCACGGGAGGATTCCCGCCCTAAAAAACGCCATGACAAAGGCGAAGACTACACACCCAAACCACCTAAGGGTAAGGCACCTGCCAAGCGCAAGTCTGCCAAATTTCACACCCCGGCCCCGCGTCAGGAGTACTCTTCAGACGAAGAGCAGGACGCCCAGTCCATGTCAGTGCTAGATGAGTGGCAAGCTGACGCCTCTGACTCGGACTACGACGCATGGGGCTCGGACGAGAAATCTGTCTCCGCTTTCATGCGAGAGACCCTCCTGGGTGCGGCCTAGACAGGAGGTGTCGAAGACACTGCGGACGCAGAACCTCCTCTTGATTCAGACACCATCTTGGACCCCTCAGGCCAGGTGATGTTCAACCCCCGCAACATACGGCACCCCAGATCGGGTGACTGGTCGCCTCCAGAACACCTTTCCAGGTTTATGCACCTGTGGCTCCGCAAACCTCTGGAGAAAGAGGTCCGCAGCCGACTCAGGTCTGAATGCCCACGCCCTTCCCTGCCGGATAAGGTCGCTCAGACCCGGGAATTCGACAAGGTTATGTCAACCTTCATGATGCGCAGTGGTAGAGACCCTTGCCGAGGGGTAGAGAAAGGCCTATGGGGCGCCCAGGATAACCTGCTGGATTCCGTAGGCCCCCTGGCTCGCATTATGTATCTGGCGGATGATGCCTACGCCAAAGCCGACTCCTTCTCTGCCGAGGACATCAGGGAATGGGCACAACGGTGCTTTTGTTTCATTGGAAACACTGTTACGCTCTCTTCGGAGAGACGAAAAGCAGCGTTATACCGTATTAACGGTAAATTGGCAGACCTTGGCACAAAGGAGATTGGGCCCCAGGCACAAGGAAAACTATTTGGCGAACCGTTCCTCAAGGAACTCAAACACGTAAACGTGTTCACCTCCCTTAATAAGGCGCAATCCTCTATGCGCAGAGTTTTCAGGAGCAACCCTACCAGAGGGGTTTTTGGAAGGGCTGGCCGGCAGCGGGGCCGTGCCGCCAGCCGCTTATGGCCTTCAGGCCCCCGCACCCAACCAACACCGTTCTACCCGACAAGGGACTATCGGCAGCAACCCTTTTCCAGAGGCTCGGATAGAGGTCGTGGACCCCGTGGACGCGGACGTTCCCGCTTTGCTGCAGGTAAGGACCCATATTCCTCCACTGTTACCATGCACCCGCACTGCGGGCCATATTTCCCTTTCTTTCCAGAATTGGGCCGCCCTATGCTCAGACACATGGATCCTACAAACAGTACAGGGATATATCATAGACCTAGTGGGGACCCCCTTTCAGGTTCAGCCCCATCCACATGTCGTCCTCAGACCACAACCTCGTCAACGCGGAGCTACGCGAGCTCCGAGACAAAGGGGCCATCCAACCGGCCCACGACGGGGGTGGTTACTTCAGCAACATCTTCCTGGTTCGGAAAAAGTCGGGAGAATACCGACCGGTCATCAATCTACGCGCCCTCAACGCACGTGGTCTATCGCCACTTAAAGATGGAGGGCATCCACCTCCTGCGAGACCTTCTTCGAAGCAACGACTGGTTCACCAGGCTCGATTTGAAAGATGCATATCTGTCAGTCCCGGTGCACCCGGACTGTCGAGCACTGCTACGTTTCCTCTGGCACGGACGCCCTTGGCAATTCACTTGCCTCCCTTTCGGGCTCAGCTCAGCCCCATGGTGCTTCACCAAGCTTCTAAAACCAGTGGTGGCCCACCTGAGATCCAGGGGCATTCGATGCATCATCTACTTAGACGACCTTCTTCTCTTCTGCTCCGACGAACACAGACTATGCTAACACACTCACTTGGCAGTGTCCCTACTGGAATCTCTGGGTTTCGTGGTGAACCAACCGAAATCGGAGCTGACCCCTACTCAGACGATACAGTTCCTCGGCTTCGAGATCGACTCAACGACATGCACTCTGAGACTACCAGCCTCAAAGATCACAGCCATTCGCAATGAGATTCGCAGGGTTCTCCGTCTCGACTCCATTCCACTACGCAACCTGGCCAGGATTGTAGGACTCCTCTCTGCTTCCATTCAAGCCATATTTCCGGGTCCCCTCCACTACAGGGCCATGCAACGTCTCAAGGCGAAATACCTACGCCACAGACCTACTTACGACCAACCCGTCCTGTTGACGACGGAGGTTCGCGAAGAACTATCATGGTGGCTGGACAGCATGCAAGCCTGGAACGGCAAGACCATATTCGGAGACACCCCAGACTTCGTATTGGAATCAGACGCCAGCCTGTGGGGATGGGGTGCCACCGACGGAACCATCTCCACGGGAGGAACATGGACGGCACAGGAGCTCTCCATGCACATCAATTGCCTCGAACTCCTGGCGGGATCCTTCGCGATCCGCAGCCTGGCCCGGGAAAGATCCAACTGCTGCATCCTCCTGCGCATGGACAATGTCTCCACAGTCCAGTACATCAACCGTCTGGGAGGCGCTCGCTCACGCCTGCTGTTGGATATCACAAGGGACATCTTCGACTATTGCCTCCCTCGCAACATCACGCTTCAGGCGGAATACTTACCGGGAGAAATCAAACTCACAGCCGACTGGTTCTCTCGCCACTGGAGAGACGTCAGCGACTGGAAGCTAAACACGAGAATCTTCAGGGCCCTGACAGCCCGGAGGGGTCCCTTTCAGCTGGATCTGTTTGCCTCTTGCAACAATCACCAGACCCCGGAGTTCTTCAGCTGGCTCCCGGACCTGGAGAGCAAGGCGACAGACGCATTTCTCCAACAATGGCCGACGACAGGAGCCTACGCCTTTCCCCCATTCTCCATGATTGCGAGAACACTACACCAGATGCGGACGCAACAGATCAAACTGGTTGTCATAGCGCCCTTGTGGCAGAGCCAACCATGGTTCCCGGACCTCCTGGCCTCCTCCTACAGGGACCCTCTCCTCCTACCATCCTTCCCGGACCTGCTCACGGATCCCAAAGGGTATCTCCACCCACTACTCCTGGAAGACCGGCTACCCCTGGTGGCTTGGTCTCTTTCCGGGGTTCCTGGCGAGTCAGCGGACTATCGCAGGCTGCTAGGGACCTCTTATGGGACTCATGGGCCCCGGGAACTAGACGCTGTTACCTTTCAGCCTGGGCCTCCTGGTCTACTTGGTGCATGGAACGGGACTCCGATCCCTTTACAGCACCTATTCCCATGATTCTTAATTTTCTTTCCTCCTTGTTTTCATCTGGCCGCTCTTACCGTTCGGTCAACGTCGTTCGCTCCGCGATTTCTGCGGCTCACACCCCCATCGGGGATCTCCCGGTCGGCAAAGACCCTCTGGTCTGCCGTCTACTCCGTGGTATGCGGCTCCGCCGCCCCCCGGCCCCCAGGTACCCTCTCCTATGGGATGTAGGACTGGTTCTCAGTTTTTTCAGGGATTGGCTTCCGAATGACCGCCTCTCCCTACGCCAACTATCCGCTAAGTGCGCTTTTCTCCTTTGCCTAGTATCTTTCCAACGGGTTTCGGACGTTCGGGCCTTCGACGTGGACGCTTTCGAGGTGGCCCCGGAAGGGGTCACGTTCCACATTTCCCGTCGCACTAAGTCGGGTTCGACTTCGGTCTTCTACCCCTTTTTCCCCGACGACCCGCAACTCTGTGTCGTGTCCACCCTTCGCAGGTATGTTTCCGTTACCTCCTCACTCCGATCCTCTACGTCGGGCCAACTCCTAGTCTCCTACGTGCGCCCTCACGCCCCAGTCTCGGTCACCACACTGGCCTGATGGATCCGCTGGATCCTTTCCCTCGCAGGTATAGACCCCGCATTCGACGCCCACTCCATTCGCGGAGCGGCGGCGTCGTCATCAGCCTTCCTGGCAGGGGCGTCCCTTTCGGATATTCTCCGAACGGCAGACTGGTCTAGGGAATCCACTTTCCGCACATTTTACTTTCGCACTCCCCCTTCTACTGGGATGTCTCTTCTTCAGCGTTAAAATTGCAAAATAGGAAGCCTCCTGTCATGTTATAAAATTGAAGATTATGCTAGCTTTAGTGTACTAATAATCTTAATTTTAATAAGGACAGGAGGCGAGTATTTTCCCTCCCTTTTGTTCCCTACCCTGACTCCTCGGGGGAGTGGATCTTAAGGTGACGGATTTTGGGATTCATGTTAATAGTTACTCTATCTTCTGGACATATTCGGTATCCCTTCCATCTCTATCCCCTGTGTTTCCACCTAGACGGACAGTTTAGTTGTACAACATGCTTACACCTAACACATATTTAGCCTATGGCCAGCTTACAATCTGTCTGTACTGTTTAATTTACACCATTCTGTTAAAGCCCACAGGCGTGAACAGTTACGGTTCAGTACCTAACCGATTTTATACTCTCCTTTCAGTGTAACCCTCTTCAGGACCTCCACTGGTCGCTGGTTCGTTAACCTCACGACTCTGTAAGATGGGATGACGGCTTCGTTTGGTCTTTCCTCCTATCTCGTTACCAGGAGTCTCCTCAAGTTCCGCTCGCCAGAGACCGCAGTTACTGTTTCATTGAGTTTCTGGATGTTCGAGCTCTATCTGGACTTGGATGTCGCTTTAAGAAAGAGGAAGTGTACAGGCAGCATGACCGTTAAATACTATGCTGCTCAGTGATTTATTTGTTCCTCTTTACGTTTTTTCTTTACTGCTGTGGAGTTTAGTAAAGAGAGTTAATGCAAAATACTCGCCTCCTGTCCTTATTAAAATTAAGATTATTAGTACACTAAAGCTAGCATAATCTTCAATTATTTCTGAGCATGTAATTTTTAACTCCTTAAGGCCGCAGGGCATACTATGCTTCCTTGCAGCAAGCGGGCTTTAACGCTTCCACGTTGTCATACTTATCTAGCGCAGTGATCGGTGTCCTCCGATTAGGGGCAATAGCCTGACAAACCACACAGTCCCCCTGCGGCCAATCAGGCCCTCCAGGGCCACGTGATCGTGACGTACACTAACAAGAAGGAAATTTTATTTATATATATATATATATTTTGATACTTAGTGTATTTTGATATTAATACATATTTAACATTCTTTATTTGTAAATTTTTAGGTTTTAATACAGTTAGAGTAGATGAAAAAAAAATATTTGAATACATATTTGCAGTGAATACAAAACAGAGGTTGTCATACAGTATGTAGCTTATACATAGCAATCAAAGATGACAGCCAGGTAAAATGAAGATTAACTTTAACAACAATGGATGAGCAAAATAAAGTGTACAGAAAGTATGCCAATGTGGAGCTATAGGGATCAGACCCTGTATCATGAAGCTCTGTAGAAGCCTTAGTTGCAAGCCTAACGACCCCTACATGGTCTGCAACTTGCAGGTGATCATGGGGGTAAAATGATACTAGTGTTCTGGGACACTGAAATGGCATCTATATCGTCTTGGGTGTTTGTTTTCCCAAGGCATCTCCCCTTAAGGAGGTGTCAGTGTCCTCTCCAGGAGTTGGGACACCCGACAAGACTCGCTTTTACCAGCGATCCCGGGTGGCACTATTGGTCAGTGTCAATTGGTCTAAGTGGTGCATTAATGAGGTGCAAATCTCTTGTTGGACCTGGTTCACAGAGGGAGAGCTTGTGTTTCCCCATTGTTCAGCAATGGTTAGTCTGGTGGCTAGTGCAATTTTAGAGACTAATTTATTTTGGGCCCTGGTAATGTTGCTGTGGGTTTTGGAAAGCAGCCAGATCCAAGGGTCTAGTGGGATATCTATGTGTAGAAGCCTAGAGGTGAGTTGGGATATTGCGTGCCAGAACAGGGTTATTACTGGGCATTCTCACCACTAGTGAAGATACGTTCCTTTCTGGCCGCATCCTTTCCAGCATAAATCTGTTTTTGCTCGACCCATTTGTTTGAGGTGGACAGGAGTGAGGTACCATCGTAGTAGCGTTTTATAGGCTTATTCTTTATGATTCGTTATGATTTCCACAAATAGATATGGAGGCCGTGGCTTCCCAGGTGTCTTCCCAGTCTGATGGGTCTTCCGGGGGGGCCAGGACTCTCTCCCAAGCCAACAATTAGGAAAGAGCTCCAGTGGACAGATTGGGAGTGCGAAGTGCATATATTGTGGGGATCTGACCATTTTAGACTGGGCACCGCATACACGTTTTTTTGAAGGTGGTGAGTGCAGTTGTCCCTGTTTGTTTATGGAGCCTTGTGTCTAAGAAGCTGCGGATTTACAATTATCTGAAGTGGTCGAATGAGGTTATAAGGGTAATCTGTTGTAGATCTGCAAAGGATATTAATTGATTCCCTTGAAAGAAATGGTAAAATCTGCTTAGGTCATTATATTAAAAGTGTGAGAAGATATGGCGGGTCATGCCAGGTGGAAATTGTGTGTTGTGCAGAATAGGTGTGAGTGGCGAGGGAGTAGAGACCAGGCAGTATTTAGTCACTACTTTGTCCCATATTTTTATTCATATTAAATTATGTTCCATATCTTAATATATTTGATGTGAATTGAAAGCCCCTTTTCTCCTGTACAAAATGATATATAATAAGTGTGATTGCACTTAATATGAAAGAGGTGAATTACAGTTGAACAGACAAATATTGCAAATTCCAGGTTTTGTTTTGATCAGAACTTGTACAATTGCCTCTGTCCTTAACCCCTTAAGGACCAAGCGTCTGGAATAAAAGGGAATCATGACATGTCACACATGTCATGTGTCCTTAAGGGGTTAAGGGGTTAATTGAAATTCCTCTGCAGTCAAAGGATATCATAAGACAAAGTAGTACTATTTTGGTTTTATGGCAAAGCCTCAAGTTGACAAAATGTGGCTAAAGACAGAGCTCCACCGTCAAGTTTTGTCAGTTCTATAGGAATCAAGCATTGTCTTTCTGCTTCTGAGGGATCCTCCATAGACATCTGTGTTTCACTTTTCAGTATTCGGTAGAATACAGCACTGAAGTGGGCTCCTGGTCAGGTGAAATGCCAGCAGCTGAAGAAAGAATGCAGTGCCCACAGAGGACAGCTTCAGGTCAATATAACTTGCTCATGGCACAACCTTGGGCCACCATATCACAAGCAACAATGTCTCCTGAGGGGGGTCAAAATATGTAAAGATACAGTAGACGGAACGTGGGGCAACAATACTCTATTAAGACACAACATTCTCGCAGCCGTTCAAGTATCCGACACGACAACCACCCGCACTAAGCTCAGGATCAGCAGACAGACGGACCAAATGACCTACACACCTTAAGGATGATGACGGATCATCAGCAGGGAGAACAGCAAAAACTAGGAGAATGGGAAGTGGACACGGAAACCACAACACTGACCCAGAGCTCTGGTAGCGACTTTTTATCTTCAGGTTCCTTCCCCCCCCGCAATGCGATCTGCACCACAACAGACGGGTGGTTCGTAATGCACAACATAAACATGAAATAGGCATAAAACGGGCCAACGAGAGACACTGACATACTCAACAACTTCACCCTGAACACCCTATCACCTGCACCAGGTTAGACCTCCTTGAGGAACCATTCGATACTCTAGATGATGGGAACTAAGGTTCTCCCACTCCACAAGCACGACTGACGACAGCAACACTGAGTACTCAAAGTCGGGTATGGGCCGGGCATGACCGCCTGATACACACTCAGACGGAGACCTCGCTGAAACACAGCCAAGAACACCATACTGCAGCAGGTCAACACTAAACTGTACCATACAAGCCGCCAAACAGTGCATTGACAAACCCTGACCCCTACCATTGACATAATATTGTTTTTACTGATGTTTTTAACGCATTGCCTGTGAAACATCAGAAACAATGAGTTGCACAAAGATACAGAGATAACCAACGCCTGTTAAATCGCTATCTGGAAATGTGAATCCCAGAATATGTTTGCTGTTTAGTTTGATGACTTAATAAAAATTTTAATATTTAAGATACATGTTGTATCCATCAGGTATTAGAGGGCACTGCCCACTTGTGCTTATATACTATATAACCTGCAAGTCCAACATGTAAATGCTATCTGCGTTGTATTGTGACCTGCGTGTCACCGATGCATGCCTATAAGATCATCATTCTTCCAGTATGATTGTTGATATACAAGATTAATGGGACCTGCGTGTCCACGCTGAAGTTTTCTTACGCGAAATGGTGAAAAATATTTAAAGATCTATTTACAAAAAAAAATATGTAAAGATCTCTCCTAAGGTGAAAAGGTTGCCTTAAATCCATTGAGTAATCCAATCATCTGTTTAAGCCAATTGATTCCATTGATTTGAAGTTTTTGTATTACTAAACAGTATTCCTGATAACCATAAAACCAGCAAAGAAAAAAATCCAAGCATTGTCAGTAAAAGAACCATATTTGCTTTTCCCCAGATCAAAATTATCCCAATTTTGATTACATTTTTTAGATATACAGGGCTATTCACTAAAGTGAGAGCTATTGTGAATTCAAAGTGAATTTCAAATGTAAGGCCGAAGTAACTAAATCGTAAACATTCTACAATCTGTTATGTTTCCTAATTGGCTAATTTAGCCCTTTGAAATTCATTCTGAATTCCCAACAATTCTCAGTTTAGTGAGTAACCCTGTTCATGTCTCATCCACAGCAAATTAACAAAAAAACAGGAGACTAGTTCTGCCCTTAACCTTGTAACCGTAAGAATATTCCATAAGCAAAGCTTGTATCAGTGACCAGGGCCGCCATCAGTGGTGCCAACCATGACTGTTGTCATAAGCCCGGGCAACTGGACCCCCCATTTTCAATGTATATAGCGATTTTATATATATATATATATATATATCAATTATCTGTCACTGTTTGTATATGTCAGTGTGTGTATATGTGTGTCTGTTTGTATCTGTGTGTGTAACTGTGTGTCTGTGTATTTGCATGTATGTCAGTGTGTGTATACCAGTGTGTTTGTGGCAGTGTATCTGTCACTGTGTATCTGTGTGTCTGTTTGTATTTGTGTGTCAGTGTGCACCTGAGTATATGTGTGTATCTGTCAGTGTGTAGATATGTGTATCTATGTGTGTCTGTGTATTTGCATGTATGTCAGTGTGTGTGTCTGTGCGTATGTTTGTATCAGTTTGTGTGGCAGTGTATACACTACACACAAATCCACGCCTGCATTCAAACACCAACATAGACACATACTCCATACAAAAACATGCTAACATTCAAACACAAATACACTGTTCAGTGCTAAATACAACCCTTGAAGGACAAATTGTAGATCCCCAGCTGGCAAAGCATTCTGGGACATGTACGACAGATGGTGATCTACAATTTGGTCACTTTACACACATTACATCCACTATACAAACACACACTATGCATACACTCTACACACACACACTGCATCCTTGTGGGTGGACTCAGGGGCAGGTCCCATGGGCCCAGAACTTGACTTTTGTCAGCTAGTTTGG